AGTAAAAATGTGAAATTTGAACATTGCTACGCAAGTATTATATAAAAAACAAGTCTGTAAACAAATTTCTTATGTAAACATACAAGGGAATAAAGACTTTTTTTCTGTTCAGATGGAAGCATTGATGTTCAGAGATGTAAACAACTTAAAATAGCTGCTGTTTTCCTGAGCTAAAAATCCACTTTTGCAAAAAGGATTTTAACACATTGTTGAATAATAATAAGTACCTGCACACAAGGGAAGTGTGGCCACGTAAAGAGACATGCTGAGGATTTTTTAATGAGTCATGGCTACCCTGGCTTCACCTTGTGGTTAGGGAGAATAAAACTCGTACGCTCCTGCATTTCATATGACCAGACATGGAGTTGTAAAATGGAGCACAGATTTGCAGTTATCCTTGTCTAATTTAATCTTTAATAGACCCAGGCCAATTTAATTAAACATTTTATGTTGGCAACAGCAGTTTTATGCCCAAGAAGAAATTTCTCTCATTTAATTGCTCCATTGGCTTGAGAGACACAGCATCACTAGCCAATGTTGGCTCCTAGCACGTCCCTTATTCCCCAGTCATGGGTTTTAATGCAGTTACACAGCATATGGTAGAACCAAATGATTAATTTTATCATCTAAGCCAACAGGTCATGGAAATTATTAGTTTGATGTACATCCCTTGATTCCCTGATTTGTCCCGAGAGTGTGAATTCCAATTGGTGTTGCATTTCTGAAGTTCTTGTGAAGGGATATTTTGCTAACCACATATATGAAAGGTTGCTCAATACCCCAAGTCTTTGTTTTCAGTTTTTGGCAAGAATTATGTCTTTGATACTTCCTATAACTATTACTTCAATTTATAGTATAGGGGAAAGTAAAATTCTGGTTGTGCATGATAGATTGTACTAAAGAATATCCAGCCAGAAATTTAAGTCTTTAGATTTGGATTTTTTTAGAAAGCATATTAATGACCCTCACTATGTCCATCTGATAAAAATGTCAGAATAAACCTTTCCCAAATCATTCAACACTTTTCATTGTTTGGAAGTTAATGGGGAGTTAGTGAGTTAGTGAGGATAGTTGCTAAGTCATCAAATACTTTTCTGGATTCCTTTCCTACTCTTTGAAGCATGTGAGCTCTTACTGAAATATACGGTGAAACCTTAGTTCTCGAACTTAATTTATTCTGGAAGACTGTTCAAAAACAAAATCATTTTTTCCCATTAGAAATAATGTAAATTAAATTAATCCATTCCAGACACCCCAATGATTACATTTTAACCTTTCTTATATACAGTACATGCCTAATGTACTGTTTAATCTATAAATAAACACTTTAAAAACAAAAAGGACATGAAATGTAAATGAAAATTTGACAAAAAGGAAATGTACAGCAAAAAATGAAAATTTAATAATAATAAGCAGCAACAAAAGCAAATATATATGTGTGTATATATACACACATATATATGTGTGTGTGCGCATATATATATATGTGTATATATATATATATATGTATATATATATATTTTCACAGCATGGTTTCCTGAGATGTTAGCAATGTGAGGTTTATTGGTAACTAACTCATACTCACACATTCTCTTCTTTGTTTGTCACCAGAGAGATGTGTGACTGATCATACAGGTATCAGCATGAAAGAATGGTTGGGTTGAGAAACAAATTATTCGAGATGGGAAACGTTCAAGAACTGAGGTTTGACTGTATATAATTTGGAACCTCAAAATAGACTAAAATGGAGTTTTGAGAAGTGTGCTTAACCTTAACCTGGCACTCAGTCTTACATCAGAGCAAGAAAAAGAAATGTTTTGACTTGTTGCTTAATTTAATGTGCTAAACCAAAATAAAAAAAAGACATGACCCAGTTTGGGGGAATTAGAACAAAATGCCTTACCTTAGGCTTCATGATAAGGAAGACCCTTATGCAGACTATGTGGCCAGGTCCTGGGCTTAACATCCCCATCCCCCAAGAACAACTGTCTGTCTTTATTGAGCTCTGTGGTCACAGGGCATCTGCTATGCATGCCATTGATTACCAAAGGAACTGGACTAAGGTGTGAGGTTAAAGTAGTATAAACTCTTTATTGCTAGTAGGCAGACTACTTCAAGCATGTTTACTGATGGTACAATTGTGGCTGTCTTCATATACAAGGACTGTTCACTCTGAAAACACGTGCTTTCCCTGTAAGAACACACTCCTATTCCAAAAAAGACCTCTAACTCCCAACATGACTTAATGTCTATCTTTTGTTTACAGTTATTTAGAATCTCTCCTTCTCTTAACTACTTTGTTTCTTTGCTGCCACCACCAAAATTCCCTGAGGGAATATGATTGTCTGCACTTTTCTGAAGCCACCAGCATTTCTTCTGTCTCCAGAGTGCCAGGCTTGGAGACTTGCAAAGGGTGGTTTCTGCCTTGGTCACACTGCCCTACTTCTAAAAAGAATGGACGGGTTGAGAGACTTGGCCTTTTCAGGAGAAACTTTTACGTGTATTTTTCCAATCCTATAAGCAGATTATGCTGAAAGAGAGATGAAATAGGTCTGCCTTGTTTTGAAGGATAGGAGACTGGTTTTCCTTTCAAACTCAATGTTATAGTATCTTTGTGACTATGTGCGTGAATTTTAAAGTTGCTCAAACTTTAAGTATGATTTTTCCATTGGTCACCATGAAGGTCATAGAATATGCTCTGAGTTGGCAGGCTTCCCAGTTGACCTGACCAAGAACCCACATTTTAACAAAAGTAATTTTGATAAGTTGGACATGTTCTTCTATCTTGTCCAGCTCTGGATATGGGCACCCCTGAATGGTACTTAGAGTTCTCAAAATGTAATCTAACACTGCAGGCATCTAACGTGCCCCAGGTTCTATAGGTAGCTGCTTTGGGGCAATCTCTGCATACAAATTGATTTCACTGAATTCAGTTTAAATGTCCTCAAAACACTAATTCCAGTCAAACTAGTGTTGATTTTCATTATTGATCTATATAATGCTAGAGTTGGTATTGGCTTGACTAAATTTACCATTTTTTCCCTAAGAATTATTTTGTTCTCCCATAGAACCAGCTTAATAACATCAACTTTCAGGTTAGTTTTGGAAGTTAACATATTGTGCGTTAGTTTTGGCAACTGAGAACTTTGTCCATCTGACACTGTTAAAAAGTGGTTCAAGGAGTTTTGGGGACCTCTTATGCCACTTTTCTTGGCAAATCTTATTTTGGAAAACTTCTCATCCCCCTTTCATTTGCATTTTCTCCCAGAAATCACCATCTGGGAATCACTGTGACAGATCTAATGTCAGTGTACTTGCCTTAGAGTTAGGATTATGTCTTCCCACATAGATTGCGAGAGAGAAGGTGTTTTGTTTATTTCCTGTCCCCTGACCAATGCTTTCGTGTCACCATGCAAGTGCACATATTAAAGCTATAATACAAGAACACCTCTATCCTCTTCAAAATCAACTTATTCTTCAAGTACTATTCAGAAAGCCATTTGGCATCAGTACAGAATTTAACTTAAAGACTCTAATTTGGAATTCATCAATGCATTTCAGCTGTTAGAAAGGGAAATAAAAATGGGACAGAGGGGCCACTTTTTGTTTCTGGAAACAATATTTAAGGTCATAACTATTTAAAAAGAAGTATTGCTCAAAAGTTATAGGATTCAGAAAAGTATAGTATTTTTGTACAGTATCTTCTAAAATGTTCAGGACTCTCTCTGCACCTCTTTACAATGTAATGTCTCCAAGTGATTGGTTTCCCAATAAACTGATTTTGATGCTGCTTCTGCTGTGTTCTGTGTGCTTAATTTAAGCAGAAACTTAAACAGGGGAATATTGCTAGCAGAAGTGTCTACCAGCTAATGGTTTGCATACAAAGGGGAGAGGGCTGTGTGGGGAGGGAATGATTGAATTGCCTCTACGCAGAGGTTCCGGGTCATCTATAGAATCCAAATCGTTGTACCAACTGTTCTTATCCTGGTGGGTTGGGAAACCCATGATGAAATGATACCTTTACCCCCAACCACCCTTTCTCTGGATTCTTCTTGCTTAGTTACATATGCCTTTTTCCTGCCCTCTTGCTAACATGTGCCCAATGACATACTTCTAACCTGCTAATATTTCTTGGAAGGTAAGCTCTCTTGCATTCTGATAATTGTCTATTTGATGTTAAAAGCCAGAGCACCCTGAGGCACTTCTACCTAGATAGAAATAGACTAGTATATTAGAGTTCTCAAATGCTTCTGTAATTTCCCATACATTTTACTATGTTTAAAGAAATTTATGATGGATTAATTTAAGCAGAAGAGATCTTTGCCAACTTAGAAGACTAAAAACAAACTTTCAAGGCTGCTCCAGCTGAAGTTGGAATTTAATATAACTTTGTTTATGTCTTCTCCCTGAGAAAGTGCCTTCAGTATTCCTATTTGAGGCACTTTTGTGCTCTTGGAGTAGTGATTATTGTCAATCATCAGGTAAACTTGTATTTATCAAGCAGCCATGTTTTGCTGCTTTTCGGGGGCAAAGGAGGGTTTCCTCAGGTATCAGCAGAGCATGACCACATGTCAGATACCGAATTGATTTTGTCCCCAGACAGTATTTCTGCATACTCCAGAACCATCGTGGTATACGTGGAGATGAGTGACTGGGTTTGTTTTCATTCCATCATGAGCCAGTGCCAGGTAGAGCAGGTGTCCGTGCCTAGTCCTATGAGTAGGAGCATTGCATAGTTACGCTGAGTGTTTGTGTGCCTAACGTCTTCATTTCCTTTCCTGCACATTGTGCTATCATGGTCCAAAATGTGAGACAGTGATTGGTTGTGTTCCAGTTTGTGTGCAATTTCCTTGCCTGACTTTTATTTTTCTGTTTTTCCTTTTCCATTTTCAACATCTATTATTTGGTTCCATAATGTTACTGCCGCGGGTTGACCATTAAATGTTCCAAGGAGAATTGAACTGACCTATGCATTGATTTTGCATTTTGTGCTCTTTTAGGTCTCCAGAGAGAGCCCAATCCCTGTCCTGTAATAACTGTAGAGCACTTTAAAGAATCAACGGGCATTAAAGGCCTTCCTCTGTATCCAGACCCCTCCAGACTATCTGACATGAAAACTCAGAACAATTTAGAATCCGACTACTTGGCCAGAGATGGCCCTTCAAGCAACAGCTCATTCCATAGCAGTGAAGAGGAAGGGACTGACCTTGAGGGGGACATGCTAGACTGCAGCGGTTCTCGACCTCTCCTCATGGAGTCTGAAGACGAGGACGAGAGCTGCAAGCCTCTGCAGGGGAAGCTGGGAGGAGCCATTCCATTCGCTCAGCCAGAAGTCTCTACTGACCAAGGAAAGTCCGTGCAAAGTGGAAGAAAGAACCGGTTTCAAGCCCTCACACAACCAACCACAGATGGTGTTGGTGAGCCAGATGTTTTTGCCACAGCCCCCTTCAGGAGCTCGAGGGTTCCAGCTGATGAAATGGACATTTTCTCCAAAGCCCCATTTGTCTCCAAGGGCATCATGACTCCTTCCCAGCCAGAGGAGGCGGACGTGTTCTTGAGAGCTCCTTTTACCAAGAAGAAAAGTGTGGAGGAGTTAACAGTTGCCCAGAGTACCTCCCAGGAGTTGCCTGCGCAGGCCAGTCTTCTCAGTCAGACAGATGAGGTTGCTGTGCTCTCAGGCCTTGACAGAGCAGTTTACGCCACTGTCCGATCTCAGTATTCCATGGCTGGTTTTGCTCAACAATCCAGCCTCCCCTCCCATTCTGTACAAGCAGCAGACCATCCTGACAGCATCTCACCCAGGGGATCCTCCCTGGAATCGGGGGCCCATCCTAATGACAGAAACAAAGGACTTCAGCCTCAGAAAGAAGCTGTTTCAGGCCCCATGGCTGGCAAACCATTCCGCCCCCAGTCTTTATCCAAATACTCCCGTCACTATAGCCCAGAAGATGAGCCAGGTCCGGAAGCCCAGCCCATTGCTGCCTACAAAATTGTCTCGCAAACCAATAAGCAGTCCATAGCTGGCTCTGTTTCCATCACCTCCCTTTCCTCCAGGACTACAGAGCTGCCAGCTGCTGATCCTTTTGCTTTAGCACCCTTTCCTTCGAAGTCAGGCAAGCAGAAACCGTAGGAGCAATACCTGAGCCTTAGGCCTGTCTCTACCCCACCCTCCGTAACCCACCACACTACTCCCAGCTGAGCCTAAGAAGAAATATATCAATTATTATCTTTCAGTTCCCTGGGTCAGAGCAGGACATCAGTCACAAACTCAGTTGCAGTGATACTTGGTCAAAACTCCTTTAAGTTTGTTCAGATCTTTTGTTTATATTGATTACTGGACTTTCAGGCAGTTCCATCTCCACCTCTACCCAGAACTTGGCTCCCTCCCACCCCCAGAAACTGTTTAAATCCAGAAATACTTCACTCCAACCCCAAAGGGGCCATGTTATTGCTAATTTTAATTCCTGCAATCCTGTTCTGAGTCATGTTCATTGAGGAGTCAAGATTAGCCCCTCCAGGACTTGATTTAATACTCTTGAAACGGAGAAATTTCTGGAAAGAAATGCAAGATGAAAATCCCGCACATCAAGAGGAAGTGTAAGCCTGCAGATATAATCATTCCTGTAAAACCAGCAGCTCTAGGATTCTCTGCATCTGTTTCTGAGTCTGCGCCAGCCAGGTGGCCCTCATGCATGCCTGTCTGGGGGTGTTTAATGTGTGTCAGATCTTTTCCTATGTAGAAATGCAAACAGATATTTGCACTCATGTCTCATAGTGCTGAGCCTTCCCTATGTCTGTGCCGCTTTGTAAATTAGTAAGAGTGCACAGGTGTGTGTGTGTGTGTGTACGGGTGCGTGCACAGGAAACGTTTTTTCTTTAGGATAATCCTGTCCCACCATGCCTACCTCCACAATCACTCATTTACTGGCATTTGTCTCCTGCACTAATGAACTTGAACCCTATTTTTATTTAGTTCTTTTCTCATGGCAAAATGAATTTCATTGGAAGGTGTAGGGAAATCAGCTGAAACAGGTTTCAGAGTAGACCCCCCCCCCCAATTTGCTCTTTATGATGAACAATTCCATTTACCTGGTCTTGAAAAATTAATTATTTTTCTACATTTTCTCTTCAGAACAATATGAAAGGGTACCTTGTTTCAGTTTCAACCACTGGGTATGTGGTCTTAGTAATTTTTTAAAAGGACTTAAGAACTTCATACTATCATGGAATTAATTAATGATGAGACTAGGCCACAAACTAGATTTTCTTGTTTGTTTGTTCCAAATCCTTGCCATTTTTCTCTACTGCCTCTTGAAGAAATATAAATCTGAGACTTATAAATAAGTTTGTATGGGAGAGTGGAAAGAGCTGAATCTGTTAGCTATGAAAACTTTTATTCTCTCTCCTCTTTAGATGTAAGTAAGCCAGATAAATGACATGACTTGTGTTTTTAAAATTCTTTTCTTTCTGGAAAGATCTGACTCATTCCTAGCTGTTTTCATACCCTTTATTATTAGTACCTTAAAATGAAATTTATGTCTCAATGGGAAGACTTCTGAAGAAATTCAACTTAATGGGGAGAATTGCTACACCATGTTTCAATGTGAAAGCTTCCTGTGGCTTACAGTAAATGCCAGGGATTTTTTTTTCTTTTCCATTAGCTGGAGAAATTGAGGGAGTTGCTTACCAAACAAGATTAGTGATTTAAGAATTCCTAGAAATTCATCCAAGAATCAAGCCCGAATGTCAAATTCTGTTGTAGTTGATGAGGTATGATAGTTATTAAATTTACAGTTCATGGATCTTGGCAGTAAACTATGAACAACTGCTTTTCAAAACTTTTTCTAGTTTTGTCTACACCTACTGCAAATGTCCAGGTTAAAAGATAAACTTAAATACTTAGCACTGGATCAGGGCTACCAGCAGTGGTTTTCCAGCTGAGGTTTCTTTGTGCCAGAAACAAATGTCTTTCACTTTGTTCAAGGCTAAATGTTCATTTTAAGACTTTTCTTTCTCCCAGTGATCATTTCTGATTTTTCTGAGTAACTGTGGATGCAAAATTATCTTTCTAGTAGAATTTTTGTTTTAGCTAATGCATATGGAACTTTGTACCCCAAATCTTCCCTTTGATATTATCAATTAAAGCCTTCAAAGGCAGAAGCCAAGAGGGAAGATAGGAATATTCAAGAGAATTCTCACCCCAATCAGAAACTCTTAAAAAGTAGATCATTCTAATTTACTCTTCCAAATATTCAGGATGACTACCTCTATAACAGCCCTTCCATCTGTTTTTCCTTTGGTTATTTGTTCACATCCTCCTAATCAAGTAGCCATTTTAGTTCTCAAGATAAAGTCAGTAAAATCATGGTGATTTTTATTATGTAGTTGAATCATTTATCAAGCATGGATTCATAACCGGTTTTTTTCTTACTGGAGACCTATGATGGTTGGAGACGAAATACCTTTGAATAGGAAATGAATATAAACACATACAAATTACTGTTGTAGTCTTACTGATACATGAAAATATTTTGACTATGGGATTACATTAATAATTAGCTTATAACTATTGAATTCTGTAATGATCTTTGTATCATAATGGGTAAATGCATCATTGAAAGATAAAATATTCTTGCCAGAGGCCATCCTGAATCCGGAAATCTGGAAAATTTAGTTTTAAAGGAATCAGGATGCTCAGGGTGCTTTGAATTAGTAGTAAATGCATGTTTCCAACAACTACATTGCAATAGGTTAACATTAAAGAGAAAAAAAGAAATAATATAGTCAACAAAATACTGCACTTCTTGTTTTAGTTTGTTTCATGTGTTACTTGCTTTACACATCTGATAGGGAATACAGGAACTTGTAACCTTTCATTTCAGTGGAGCACAGTGAGCCAGAATAAATTTAGATAAAGCATTGAATCACAACATGCACTGATGAACTCTAAGAATTCACACTAATTGACTAACAGGCACTGTTGAGATAATGAATTATTTTATGTGTGGTGAAAATATTTGACATATCTGTTTCTTGGGCTTACATACAGCCCTTAGCTCCAAATCCTTGTTAGATTGGGAAACAGAATGAACAAAATTTGTTGCTAAAGCAGATGTTTAGCAGGGCCTAAGGGAATCTCGGTCATAAGCACTATTTCATTTTTGGCCCATTCATTGTTGAGTTGAAAATTTCTTAGGTGTAGGTTAGCGAGTATGTGTTTATATGTCTACATTAGCTCTGAGTTTAATTTGGCAACCAAGATATAAACTTCCAGGAAAAATACCAGTATTTTGTTGACCCATTATTTCAGTTTTAGAATACATGTATATCTGTGTTTTCAACATGTATGTATGATATTCAGCAGACATTTCACTGACTCATAGAGTAGCAGATTTTGGTTTATTTAAAATAAGTGTGATCACCAGAGTGATTTGAGAATAGAAATTCAATCATGATATATTTGATTCCATAATGAAAAATCATTAAAGCCTAGATCCTATAATATATATGAATTATATCAAATAGGAAACTATCATATAGGAAACGAGAAGGATAGGATCAAACTCTTAACAGGAAGGATACAACTTAAAATGGAGTCACTTAGGTCCCTTTTATAGATGTTATTCTCTGCTATGTCTTTAGAATTGAAATTAGAGAACATATGCCAGGCAACTGTGGAATGGCTGCTGTCCACACAGCTGCAGTTTTTGAGAAAACCCCAAAATTTCTGAACAAATATGGAACCCAGATTACTTTGATTAAAGGTACATAGGAGAGCCACTGAAAGGGCCACAGCTTCTAACGAGGCAGGAGCACCTTGTAAGCACCACAGCCACCCCTGAGTTCTGATCCTCCAATCTTGCCTGATGGAGTAAACATGAAGATTTTAAATGAAATTATGTAGATGCCTTTGTCAACTGTTTGTAGTTATTTTGTGTGTGTGTGTGTGTGCTTTTTTTTTTGTTTTTAACCACCAGGACACTTGAAAACTTGTGACTTGTGAAGTTCACTTAAGGAGGAATTTCAAAATGCTTGAAAATAAAAAGTAGTATCTGGTTGGGAATTGTTTTTGTGTTCTTTTGCTACAAAATAAATTTGCTAGGTTGCTGAGAACAATAAGCTGGCTCAGCTTAGATGTGGGAGTTTATGCTGTCAGTGTCTTGAGTCCCAGAATGCCACCTTACTCCTGGCTTCCTGGTCCTACCTACCTGCCTATTTGCACCTTGATTTTTATTAGGAAACAGGCCTCCCACATGTGGTACCCAAGATCCCATCATTAAAATACTGCCAAACATAGCTCTTTCCTGCTCTTTCTTTACCCCTGCAAGTCTTATTGACTCATCTTCCTTGTTGCTGTTCCCACTTAATTTCCCCACATGACATTCCCCTATTATGACTATACCAATAAGTAGATAAGGGGTATGAATGAATGAATGATCATGTTAATCTTTATTTACCTCCCTTTTCACTGTAAACAATTTCTTCTTAAATTTTAGCCTAGCCTGTGATTATCTCACCACACTGGAATAATTCAAAATAAGAATGAAATGGCTCACCTCTATTTCTTATGGACTAGAAGAAAGGATGAAGGAAGGTTGGCAGAACCCCAGCCTTACTCTGGAAACACAACCCAAAAAGTATCTCTTCACCTTGATCTCGCACAGGCCCAGAGTACCCTAGAATGCAGGGGCAAGTATGTGTGTGAAGGACTCTAGAATAGCTGTAAAAATGGTTGAATGTTAACCATTTAGCTGTACTGGTGGCTTAGTCCAGTATTCCCATAACTTGTTAACTATATAAGAAATCTAGTCTGAGCTACTTCCCAGCAATCTCAGTAAGTGTTGAGTTTATAGTAACAATGTTTTATTCTTGAAATCAAGTCAATGTTACCTGCATTGCATTGTAATAGAACCATATATGTACATTAAAGGGAATTGTTTGATTTTTGGGGGCAAGGAATTGCAGAAATGGTTTTAACCAAGGTCGGTTAAAGTGAGACTTTGAGAGTGAAGGAGGATGATGTAGCCTTTTCACTCTGAAATGGCAAGCCGATTATATTCTCTGAGTCTACCAAAGACTCCTGTCTGGGGAGTGTGAATGGAGTGTGTGTGTATATCCCATGCTTTCTACCATGGTGTTAACCTAAGACCTCCTAATAAAGGCATCCAAAGAATACCAAGAGGTGACAATGGGTAGTTGGCATGAGTAAATTTGGTTCCCTTTGTCAACAGCTCTCTGAGTAAGAACTAAAAGTTGTTCTGGGTAAAAGTGGGGAAAATCACCCATTGCTTGAGCCTCATTTCCACAATAAGCATGCTCTTCTCATCCATGAGAATGACCCTCAAGGGTTTATTCTGAATTCTTGGCTCACATGTAGTCTTGGGAGGGAAAGAGTGACCAGAACACCATAAAACCTGCAAGATATTACTTTGAATGAAGGAATGTTTCAGGTCATTTTTTAGGGACTGGAAACCAAATATAGGCCAAGGACCATGCTCATTCCATGGAGAAGAGGCGAACTCTCTGCTGACTGTATTTTGAGTTGCCTGAAGGAGGAGGTTGACCCAGCTGTAATGAATATTGAGGCCATCAGACCTCAGAAAATATGTGCATGCAATCTCAAGGGCTGTGAACATGGGACAGGAAGGGAAAAGGACAATTATAAAGTCAATCTTAGCAGTTTTTGCAATACCTCTTATTTGCAGACTATTGGATTTATGTTATTGCACTCTTTGTGTGACCTATCTTATGTATCTGATAGTTTATATGAATAATTGAGTTGTAAACTCCTATATACTTTATTAAAATGGACCTAATTAAAATAAATGATCTATATTTTGTGTTATTTCCTATGTCAGAACTTCCTAGGATTGAAGAGCTCCATAAGCACCTTTCACTTTAGTACCAAGCCAGGTTTTACATTTTTAAGTTTCAAAGAACAACTTTTGGTTAGTTGCTTTCTTGCTTTCCAATGCTGTCATTGCTATCTCCTGAGACCTTTCTATTCCAGATGTTTTGTGGAGACATAAATGAAATAATACAAGATAATTGGGCCATAAAGAATGAGCTGGGAACACCACAGAGCTCCCTACTATGCAAAGTTCACTGTGAGCTTCCAACATATGTGTTACCTGAATGTGAGCTGCATCAATCTGTAGAGAGGTAAAAACATAAGAAACTAAAGACAGAAGTCTTGGGGGGGGGGAGGGGGATGGATTATACCTAAAAATTTTTTAAATCCTCACTGTGGGAAAGAACCTGCCTGCCTATTTCCTTTCCAAATTTGAGAAAATAACAGTAATATTTGAACTTCAATGAGCTTGACATCCATGATTCAGGGAGAATTGGTGATGGGCTGAGTACACAGAGAAGATGTTCAAAGAAGATCCAGCAAAAAGTTCTGATATAATGTGCATTAGTACAACCAAAGTTTTCTACTTTATATAAGGACTTATTTAAGATTTGATTCATCCATCTTTAAGTATAGTTCTATAATGTGAAGTTCGTACACTTTTTCTATTTCAAGTTAGATTGCCCTGGCCAGTTTGGCTTAGCGGTTAAAGCATTGGCCCATGGACCAGAGAGTCCCAGGTTCGGCTCCTGCTAGGGGCCTGTACCTCGGTTGCAGTTCATCCCCAGCCCCGATTGAGGTTGTGCGGGTGGCAACCAGTCGATGTGTGTCTCTCACGTCGATGTTTCTCTCTCTCTCTTCCTTCATCTCTCCCTCCTGCTGTATCTGAAAATAAATGCAAAAATGTCTACGCCCTGGCCGGTTAGGCTCAGCGGTTGGAGCGTTGACCTGCGGACCAGAGAGTCCCAGGTTTGATTCCCGCTAGGGGCATATACCAAAAGAAATGAAATAAAATAAATACCTCATCAATACATTAAAAAAAAAAAAAAAATGTCCTCGAGTGAGGATACAAAAAAACAAGTTAGATTAACCCAAAGTACAATTTTCCTTATCTGTGACTTGGGCTGCTCTGTTGGAAGCAAAAAAAAAAAAATGTCCTTGAGTGAGGATACAAAAAAACAAGTTAGATTAACCCAAAGTACAATTTTCCTTATCTGTGACTTGGGCTGCTCTGTTGGAAGCTTTTTCAGATACATCACCTGTCATAGCCCTGCTTTCTTATAGGAAGAGTTAGAAGATTCAGGTCCCACAAGGTGGGCTCCTTTGCATTCACCTTTTTATGGTTCATTTTGCAAGCCCTGAGACTGGTTGATAAGAGACCAACCAGGGAGGAGGTGCCCTTATATTACCCCCTAATTGAGAACCAAGTGGGAGGAACCAGGGTAAGACCCAGGAAAAAGCCTATTTTTCTGAATTTGGAGTCAAAGATCTTTTCCCCTTCCATCTTATTTATTTTTCCTTATATTGGAATCATAAAATATAATAGGCTTAAATTAGCATATTAGCTTACCAGGAAGAAGATCAAGTAATTCTTCAACCTGCTTTTATGTAAGCTTGACCCAGAGGCCCAAAAGGAATCCAAGTATTCCCAAAGAAGGCAGCCCAGTTCTCCAGTGCTGAGGTTTTGGTACCAAGATCATCACTAAGTTTGGAATTCCCAAAGTCAGATATGGTGAAATTAGTAGTTCTTCAAGATCTCCCAAGGATCTACTTTTTTTTTTTACTCTTTAGAGAAACTTGAGGTTACCTGGGGGGAATTGATCAGTTTTCACATAGACTAACCAAAAATTAAATATTACCTGTCAGCCTTTATTCAGTCAGTTTATAATGAATATTACCAGTAGAAATAGTCAAGTAAAATTCAAAACAGTTAAAACTGTACATGGTTAAAAATTAATTGAAGAATGAAATGACAAAATTTAAGTCAAAATTTTGGCTTAGGAAATGTGCGCTCTCTTGAAGGTTAATACCCACTTCAAGGGGTATTACTTCTGGTAGTTCAAATATTTGTTCATCTAGATGCACAAGAACAAGGGACAGGGCTGACTTAAAACCTTTTCATTAAAGAAGTTATAAGCTTGGGGCATGACTACCCACAATGACTTGCCCAGGTAGGACTTTATGATTAGATCACCCGGTGAAGTTACTTTCCATAGAACCCCCTTTTTTTTGTCCACACCCCTATATTCTTCCTCCCTCAAACCCATAACTTCCATCTAACCAAGTAAATAACATCAGACAAATATCCACTGAGGGACAATCTACAAAATACCTGACCAACACTCCTCAAACTGTTAAAGTAGTAAAAAAAAAAGTCTGAGAAACTCACAGACCAGAAGACATTAGATATAACAAGATAATATAATATATCTCACATAGGATCCTGTTGCTGAAAAACAACTTTAGGGGAAGAGTAGTGAAATGCAAATAAACAGTGGAGTTTGATTAATGCTGGTTCCTTAGTTGTGGCAGGTTCATAGGAGAACAGAGGTGATGAGCTGTTTAGGTGACTTCTTATCTCTGAGCCAAACTCTCCAATGATAGGAGTCAATGTATTCTGGTTGCTAAACTACTGGTGAGGCAATTTGTAACAGCTGAATTCTTTTGAGAGGCTCTGTTTTTAGATAGAGAAAGGGAGTTCCAACAAACTTGCAGTGGCATGTTCTGGAGGCTTGCAGCAGAGAGAAGTGTGTGAGGTCAGGCAGGGCTCTGACAGTTCAGAAAGTCCATTGCTGCCACTGCTACCATCAAGGCCTCTCTCTTTTTCTCTGCAAAGTGAAATCTAAGAATGAGGAGGGAATAGGTAGGCTTGGAGAAGCTAATACAGGGAATGGTTAAGATATATGTAACCAGTATTTTGAATAGACTGAATTCAGTAAGAGACAATCAGGAAAGGGCTTAAATGTGGTCTTTTTGATATTCCTGCCTCATTCCTTGATGAAATTCCTGCAGATCCCATCACTTTCTGTTTTAAAAACTATCTTATTTTCCATCTCATTCTCAAATATTAAAAAAATCTAATCAAGTGCTTAAAATTCCATCTTACATCTGCATTAGAGCTTCCCTCCTTTCTCTAGGTTGGGCTCAGGAACTCGTCTTCTCTCCCTTCTATATCTGCCTCCATCAGGTTGGAGCAGGAGGGGACCTGGGATCAGGGTGCAGGGTCCTTTTCCTTGGCTGGGGTTAACTGTGGCTTTCTGCACTGTTATCCAAAGGGGGGAACAACTATGCAAAGGCTCTGAGGTGGGAAATATAAGGCCGCTGCTTGAAATGTTCATTGGTTAAGCTCTGCAAAATGAAGTGTCAATTAATCACAAAAGAATAAGAAGAGTGCTTGGAATGAGGTCCCCCAAAGCAAGAACATTTACAAAATGGGCAGATGAAACCCTGCGAAGAAGGAGTAACCAGAAAAGTAGTAGGAAAAATAGGCAGTTGTGGTACCAGGAAAGCCCAATGAATGAGATTATTAAAGGGAGAGAGAGCCTCAGCATGTGATAATTCAGAGGACAAGAAAGGTAAAAACTGAGAAGACCCTCAGGTTCAGCAATACAAGTGTTGTGGGTGGGCTTGACAGGGCAGCCACCAGGCAATGGTGGGACACAGCAGGCTGATGTCAGTTTTTTGAGAAGTGGGAGGTGAAAAATTAGACCAAAAGTGTAGACTTTTGGCTTTCTATGCCATTTGACTTTGAAGGGAAGAAAGGAGAGAGTGATGGTTGGAAGGACATTTGGAACAAGGCAGTATTTTTCTAATGGGAAGGAACCCATAAGAGAGGGAGAAGTTTAAGATAGATTGCTCCCTAACCTGGGTCTGTTCTTGGGTAGAAGAGCCACGGTGATTCAGGGTCTAGAAATGAGTAAGGGAACAGGCCTGGGACAGCACTAAAGTCTAGAATGGTTCATGAAAGAGAGGCAGTGGTTAGAAGCCAAAGTTCAGCCTTAAGGATGTAAACTGCTCTCATAGTCCAGGCCCAGGTCAGCTGCAGGTCTGAAGCCACACCTACCCCCTTACCTGCCTCTCTGGCCATAGAAACCTCCAGAGTTGTCTTGGGTGTGGCTCAACTTGTCCAACAACAGGTGTGTTGGTCCGGTTCCAGAAACCAGTACTTTGTGTATATCATGTAGAGCCGTGGTTGGTTCTCAAACTTTAACCTGCATCAGAATTAGGTGGAGGGGTTGTTAGATTACTGGACCACACCTCCAAGATTGTGATTATGTAGGCCTAAGGTGGGGCCTGATATTTGCATTTCCAACATGTTCCCATGCTTTTGATGAGCCCAGTCCACACTTCCGAGAATCTCTGCCCTTGAGAAAGCCAAATGCTCCCACAAGGAAGGTTCTGGAAGAATAGTTAATGGGCTTTCGTACTTTGCTCTAGAAATCTGTCAATACCCATGTTTATACAGCAAAGGGCAGCCCCACACTAGGTGAGTCCTCTGTGTGTGTTGGTCCAAGATGACAAGGCCAGCCTAACAGATGGGTAAGACACAGAGGTCCACAACATCCCCAAGAGAGAAGGGAAGGCGAGAACCTTCAGATGTGATGCTTCAGGAAGTCTTTTAAGGCAGTCACTGGGTTGAGCCTGAAGGCAAGCAGGATCCTACAAATGGCAAGGGGCAGGTTTAGGGGTCGGAAACACCGTTCCAACCGCAGGACCAGTCGGTGCAAGAGCAGGATCCAGCGAGTAAGAAAAGCGCAGAAGCCCCGCGCAGGCGTGCAGAGTTCTGCGCGCCTTACTGAGGGATTTCTATTTTTTCCTCCTTGTCCAGGCTTTTGTAGTATTTTGGCAAGGGTTGCAAACAGCCAGGCGCAAATCCGCCGGCTCGTCCGCAGCAGTGCCGCCTACGACCGGTAGAGTGCGCTCTCCACGGTACCTGTCCAGCTCCCGGCCTGGCTGCGCCTGCGCCTGCGCCTGCGCTTGCGCGCGGTTCCGCGGCTCGGCTAAGGGGCGAGTGGGGAGGTCTTCCACGCCTGCGCACTCGGACTAAGGATGGCGGCGGCGGCGGCCCGCCTGGGCTGGGGAGTTGCGGCCGGTGCCGCAGGGTTGCGCAGGCGGTAGGTGACAAATCCTGAACTCCGAATAGGGTTGCCTATGCGCTTTGCCAGCAGAGCGGTAACCGTCCTGCCCACGCCCTCAAACGGAGTGGAGTAAGGTGCCTCCGACTTAGCCTTTGGTTTTGCTGCGATCGCCGCTGTTAGGGGTTGAGCCCTAGAGGTGGGCGTCTGTCACTGAGGCAGCTCCGCGCCCCCAGTTCGGGTGGACTCTGCCTTTCTGGCCCCAGGCCCTGAGACCCTGTGCCTGAGTCCCTTCTGTGGGGGATTCGCAGACTGGCTGTAGAGACCCAGCGCAAGAGCTAGTGTTTTTAAATCGTGTGGCCCCTCTAACCTTTCACCACGTTTATTCCCTCCTCTGCCTTTTAAACACAAAATCAGAATATCATAAAATGGAAGAGGAAATCTTGTGTCATTTCTTCATTTTCCCAGTGAGGCCCAGAAAGGGCATATGATCTGTTTGAGGCCACACGGCATCCAGGTGATGGAAATCTGATGAGAATCCAGACCCCTAGACTTCCTCCCCACCATTAAAGCCACTGCGTTCCCTTGTTTTTCCCCTTCCATGCTCCCTGCCAATGAATCTGCCAACAGTGATTAGGTGAAAGGCAGTAGGTGTTGTACCCCAATTTTGCTTTTGGAACAAAAGGAGAAAAAGACCCAAGAGGATTTGATCTCGTTTTAGTGCTAATGATGCTCTTGACGTTTAAATGCGCTTCTTTAAAAAAGAATTAAGTTTGTAGAAGGGTTTTTTGTTAGTCACCTATCTCCCTCTCTTATGTTTGAGTCATGTCTATCACATAATGATAATAGTGGTAGCTAACATTTGTTGAACACTAACTACATGGCCTAGCAGGACTGTTTTAAGCACTTTACATGGATTATTTGGACCCAACTTTACCCCAGTCTTTATAAGATAGCTGTGAATATTAACTTCATTTTAGGGGTGAAGAACTGAGGCTGTTGTGCTAGCTGCTCCAGGGACATAGCAATGAAGACAGTCCCACCCCTTAATGAGTTTGCAGGTGAAAATAATCAGATGTTAAAAAAAAAAAATCATATATGTGCTTAAAATTCCTCAGTGATTCCTGTGAAATGAAAATTTGCAGTATTTTAAAGTAAACTAGATTTGCCCTGGCCGGTTTGGCTCAGCGGTTGGAGTGTGGGCCCGTGGACTGGGGAGTCCCGGGTTGGATTCCTGCTAAGGGCACTGTACCTTGGTCGTGGTTTGTCCCTGGCCCCTGTTGGGGTTGTGCGGGTGGCAAGCAATGGATGTGTGTGTCTCTTACGGTCGATGTTTCTCTCTCTCTCTTCCTCCCTCTCTCCCTCCCGCTCTGTCTGAAGGTAAATGCAAAAAAATATCCTTGGATGAGGATAAAAAATAAATAAATAAAAAATAAATAAAGTAAACTAGATTTAAAAAGAACTTGCATCAGATTTCTAAAATTTTCACTACTAAAGTTTCTTTATATTTCTTTTGCAGTAATATTTGTTTTTTCCTTTTCACCTTGTTTTTAATTTGTCAAAGGCATGAAAAATTAGCCAATCAACACTTCCTCTATGGTTATGGAATAACCAAAGTTACAATACTAATATGCTTCCAATCAAAAAGCATATATAGATTGTTGGCTTCTTTTAGCACATCGGAGAGAAAATAGTACACTTTCTTTTTTTTTAAATCCGAACCTGAGGATATTTTTTATCTTCAGATAGAGTGTGAAGGAGGGAGAGAGGGAGAGAGAGACTTTCACTGGTTGCCTCCCACACAAGGCCAGCCAGGGCCAGGGATGAACTGCAACCAAGGTATGTGCCCTTGACTGGAATCAAACTCGAGACTCATTGGTCTGAGGGCCGACATTCTAACTGCTGAGCCAAACCAGCAAGGGTGAGAATAGTACACTTTCTACTACACTTTTTGATGTATTAAAATACTTTTCAACCATATAGAATAGGTTATCTCTTTCTAGGGAAATGTGGTAGAAATAGAAAAGGAGAGGGACTTTTCACTGTATTTTCTTTTTTTCCTTCTGAATTTGGAACCATGTGAGTCTGTGACCTAGTTTTAAAAATTTTAAAAGAAGGGAAAAACAATTTGTAGTTTCTTTGCCTTCTTCATGCATAACTAAGAGTCTGGGACTCCAGGTTATTAATTGCTAGTGTAGATGCATTACTCTTTCTTAAATCAGATATGGCACTATCCTCAGTTGTCAAGGCTATACATTTCCCCTTGAGCTCTTGTTTTTAAATATTTTTTCTTTATTGATTTGATTTTATTTTTTATCCTCACCCGAGGACATTTTTCCACTTTTTGTTCAGATAGTGCAGGAGGGCGGGAGAGGGAGGGAGGGAGAGAGAGAGAGCGAGGGAGGGAGAGAGAGCGAGGGAGGGAGAGGGAGGGAGGGAGGGAGAGGGAGGGAGGGAGGGAGGGAGAGGGAGGGAGGGAGGGAGGGAGAGGGAGGGAGGGAGGGAGGGAGAGAGAGGCAGGGAGGGAGGGAGAGAGAGGGAGGGAGGGAGAGGGAGGCAGGGAGGGAGGGAGAGAGAGGGAGGGAGGGAGAGAGAGGGAGGGAGGGAGAGAGAGAGAGAGAGAGAGATTGACGTGAAAGGGACACATCGAGTGGCTGCCACCCTCACCACCAACCAGGGCCGGGGACAAACTGCAACTGAGGTTCGTGCTCTTAGCGGGAACTGAACCCGGGTCTCTCTGGACCGCAGGCTGATGCTCTAACCTCTGAGCCAAACCGGCCAGGGCTCTTTATTGATTTTAGAGAGAGAGGAAGGGAGAGTGAGAGAGAGAGAGAAACACTGATGAGAGAGAATATCGATTGGTCGCCTTCTGCATGCCCTCCCACTGGGGATGGGGCCCATAACCTAGGTATGTGCGCTGACCAGGAATCAAACCAGCAACCTCTTGGTGCATGAGTTTATGCTCAACCACTGAGCCACACCGGCCGGCCATTGAGCTCTTGTTGTTAAATTGTTTGTAGCTGTTCCTTGCCTGAGGCAGTGAAAATAATGTGCGCACAAAATGAAAATTTGGCTTTATTATTATTTTAATTATGGTTTTTTATGTATGAGAAGTAGAAACTGAGCTTAAAAGACTCTTAAAATGTCATTTTTATTTGTTTTTAAATGTAGATTCTATTATATGATGAATCCATACACCATTAAGAAACAGCCTCTGCATCAGTTTGTACAAAGACCGCTTTTCCCACTACCTGCAGCCCTATGTAACACAGGTAAAATTTCACCTCTTTTAGAACAAATTGTGTTTCAGAAGCTAGTGAAACTGCTTGAATGAAATTTTGTGGGTCATAAAAGATAAAGATTTGTAAATTTTCTACTTAGATGCCTATAAAAGAATTTAGCATTTTGTTCCTATCATAACATCACACTTTGCTGTAATTATTTGCTTACACATATCATTGGTATTAAATGTCAAGAATTCTGAGCACAATTCCCAATAGATCTATGAAATTTCAGTCTTTTATAACACATCCTCTGAAACATAAGAGTTGCTCAATAAATGATATCCAAAGTGAAAATATGGTAAAAAGAAGTTACAAATGAGTTTGTGTTTCAAAGAATCGTATGTATTTTAAGCTAGTGTCCTCTTTATTTTTATAAGAATACTTCTAAAATCAGTAAATTTCTAGCTTTCCATTCACACTGCAGAACCTAGTATTTTGAATATAATTTTTCTTTTTCTTTGTTGCTTTTTTTGGGGGGGGATCAAAATGAGTCACTGGTTTTTTGACAATCTGGTTGATGTTACATGTTTTTATTTTCTTTAATATGGAAATCGGTATGAGGGTAGCATTTGAAAATTACTTAAATATGACCATTGTCATGTGGTTAGGAAACCTTGGGAGGAGTTGTCACGTGGTTAGGGAAACTTGTGAGGAAAGGGTGCATGTCTGTGTGTAAATTCCTATCTCCATGTGGTTATGGAGCTGTAAGAGTTTGGATTCAGCTCCTGGCCCATCTCCATTTCCATCACTACCTTGAACATGTCCTGTGATCATACTCTGGAAGGTGACTGACTGGCTAATGGCATGAGCTGGATTAGGATAGAGATCTTATCTTCCATGTGTACTGGGTAAGAACAGGAGTACTTGCCTGTCGTCTTGAATCACAGAATAACTTAAGTGTAAATATTGAGTAACTCGACATGTTACGCTACTTTAAATTTTTGTGGGACTGAATTACGTGGTCATCTTGGCTTTTCAAATTGGAGAGCTGCTGATTTTAGTGTCTGATACTGACTTTTTTAAGCATCATCAATATGTAGTTTTGGAGGAACTTATGCCTACCTATTTACTTATTAGTACCAAGCATAATAGGAAAAAATTATTTTAGATCAGTGTTTCTATCCTGGTGTAACCCTTATGACACTTTCAGGAGCATCCTTCTGGATGATGAACCCAGAAGTCATTTTGTAAATACCTAATTAACCCAATTTAGACCATAATTGGAATGATTTTGTTAATACTTAGTCAATCAATTTTTTGAAATAGCTTTGTTCATTGTCAAAAGAAAATTTATATAGTGATGTCATATATTATTTTCTACTTCAAATATTATATGTAGATTATGCTCTCTGTCTCTTTTTTTTTGGTTAATCCTCACCCAAGGATATTTTTCCATTGATTTTTAGATAGAGGAAGGGAGGGAGAGAGAGAGAGAAAAACATGGATGTGAGAGAGGCACATTGATTGGTTGCCTCCCGCATGACCCCATCTGGGGCTAAGGATCAAACGTGCAATCCAGGTATGTGCCCTTGACCGATAATTGAACCCTTGACCCTTTGATCTGTGGGCTGATGCTCTAACTGCTGAGCCAAACTGGCCAGGGTGATTATACTCGTTTAAAAAAATTTTTACACTTACAGTTCTTACCTCCATATATTTCCAAAAATTTTTCTATATATATGTATAGTTGTACACAAAGGGATTGAGTAGAATAAAGCCAGATTTAATTCTTCAAATACTGGTGTGGAGCTTTTGTTTACCAATAAATTATCAAGAAATGATTGGTGAGAACCAGAGTTAAAAGAACCTTGTTGTCACCAGGCTGGTGTGGTTCAGTGGTTGAGCATCGATTCATGCACAAAGAGTCGCGATTTGATTCCTGGTCAGGGCACATGCCCAGGTTGTGGGCCTGATCCACAGTTTGGGGCATGCAGGAGGCGGCCAATCAATGTTCTCTCTCATCTATGTTTCTTTCTCTCTCTCCCTTTCTCGCTCTAAAATCAATAAAGAAAAATTATTTTTTAAAAACCTTGTTTTTATATTTATAGAAAGCCCTTTCCTAATGTTCCACCTGAAAAATTGTTTCCTTGTAACACTTATTTTCAGAGGCATTTATTAGTTAAAGGTATAAACATTTTAAACCAAGCACTTGGACATTGAGGTCATCGTTTTAATTTTTTCTCCTCTTTAGGATTTGCCTGGTCACCAAGTCACCAACTGATATAGGACAGTGATTTAAGCAGAATGTATGGGATTTTAGTTTCAATTTCTACTTCACTAAGGAAATGACTCAACATCAGTTAGCTGGAACTGTATGGCAAGGTGCAAAAACAATCCTCAGCTGTCAATTTAGAATCTTCTCTTTTAAGAAAAGCACTTCCACAACAACTGTATGTTTTGTCAGATTTAACCTCTAATTTAAAATAAAACTTGCTTTTGGATATTTTCCTATCTTTTCTAACATGTGTGGTATGAGGATTATGACAGGATAGAAAGACTGGTTTTAAGCATATTTTTCTGTTATGCTTGGCACTAATAAGTATGGAGTGGCAGTATGCATAGTGGTTAAGCAAGTCAGTGCTGAAAAATTGGCAGCTTTATCACTCTAATTAGCTGAGTGACTCTGAGCTTTAGTTTCTTCATTTATAAAACAGGATAAAAACAGTGCCTCCTTGGCAGGATGTAAGGATTGAGTGATATCATTCACGTGGAGTGCTTAGCGCCATGCCCCGCACATGTTTTTAATTTTTAAAAAATGTGTTGATTTTAGAGAGTAATTAGGAGGGGGGAGAAACATCAATTCATTGTTCCACTTCTGCATGCACTTACTGATTGATTGTTCTATGTGCCCTGACTAGGGATCGAACCCACAATCTTGGCACACTGGGACTATGCTCCAACTTGACCAAACTACCTGTCCAGGGCCCAACACATGTTAATAACTCAATTAATTAACTACCCTATTTCAGTATACTGCTCTAAGATGAGAACTGGTGTTTTCTTTTGGCCAGAAGGTTTATTTTCATAATAAGTAGTAAAGGTATGTTTAATAGTTTTAAAACTATTTAAACCTCAGTACTATTTATCCTTTGTCCTACAAGCTGTTGTTTTATTAACAAGGTAGGAAATTAAAGATTCTGTTCTTTCTTTACTGCTTTAATAAATTCATTGTCAATCTAATCATGGCCCTAGAAGAAAGAAAGAAAAGAACCTGTAAAGATAATTTTTAAATACTCCAGAAAGTGCCCTGGCTGGTTTGGCTTAGCAGTTAGATCGTCGGCCTGCGGTCCAGAGAGACCCGGGTTTGGTTCCTGTTAAGGGCACATATCTTGGTTGCAGTTTGTCCCCTGCCCTGGTTGGGTCGTGCAGGTGGCAGCCACTTGATGTGTCCCTTTCACGTCGATGTTTCTCTCTCTCTCTCTCTCTCTCTCTCTCTCTCTTCCTCCCACTTTATCTGTACAAAAAATGAAAAAATGTCTTTGGGTAAGGATAAAAAAAAAAAATACTCCAGAAAGTAAGTCACATAGATTCCCACTTACATGATAATTGATAGTGTCACTAACTATCCCATTTGGGCAGTCTTTGTAATTTCACAAGTTACTTATATCTAAGCCTCAGTTTCTTCATTTGTAAAATGGGAGGGGTAGAGGGCATAGGCAGGGGTGGACTCAACCTCTCCCATCGTCTCCTACCCTCTACTGGGGGACTCCTGAGCTTCCCTTCCCACAGGGCAGGTCTCAACATGAGCAACTCCCAGTGGGGGCCTCTCTCCAGCACAAACTTGTCTCAGGGCAAAACAGAAACACCGATTTGAGACAGACACATCGATTGGCTGCCTCCTGCATGACCCCAACCAGGGCTAGGGATGAATCACAACCAAGGTATGTGCCCCTGACTGGAATCAAACCCGTACTCATTGGTCCACAGGCTGACGCTCTACCTGCTGAGCCAACCTGGCCAGGGCTAAAAATATTTTTTAAAAAAGCACTCCACCCTGTTCCTGGCATGTAAATAGTAAGCACATAATAAGTATTCATTATTATTACAAATTTATTTGTCCTTAAAAGGATGGTAACACTTTGGAAAGAAGAGAATGTAACATTTTACTGTATTAATATCACACTGATGATGATTTGTGATTATGATAGCCATTGGTATTAAGTCACCATATGTGATTCCTTAATTATAATATACCTTCCTGCCTAAGTGTGGAATATTAGTAGAATCTGTTGAGTAACAGAGCTATCTAAATAATAAAAATTAATATGAAACGCAATGTAGTGATCCTAAATATATTGGTAAATTGCTTTCTTTTCTTTTCTTTTTTTTTTCGGTACGTGCCCCTACCAGAAACTGAACCCAGGACTCTCTGGTCCGCAGGCCGATGCTCCAACTGCTGAGCCAAACCGGCCAGGGCAATTGCTTTCTTTTCTTTAAAAGTTCTTATTTTGTCAGTTTGGGCAATAAAGTCTTATTTTGTTTTTACTAATTTTTCTTACCTTTTCTGGGTCTCTGAAAATGAGCATTTCATAGTCCATAAAGTGTTAACTATTATGTTCTAGAATGACATTCTTCTTTTTTTCTTTTAGTGAGACACATGTTTATTCAAACACAAGATACCCCAAATCCCAACAGTTTAAAGTTTATTCCAGGAAAACCAGTTCTTGAGACAAGGACCATGGATTTTCCCACACCAGCTGCAGCATTTCGCTCCCCTCTGGCTAAGTATATTACTATTTTTTACTTGCTTTTACCAAGAAACATAAATAAGTGACTTTAGGGTTAAAGTAGCTTTATTTAACTGTTGCTGTGTTTGTTTTTTGTTGTTGTTGTTGTTAATCCTCCCCTGAGGGTATTTTTCCATTGATTTTTAGAACGAGTGGAAGGCGATGGAGGGGGGGAGGTATTGATGTGAGATATGTTGATTGGTTGCCTCCTGCACAACCTGACTGGGGCCGGGGATCGAATCTGCAACTCAAGTATGTGCCCTTGACCAGAATCAAACTTGAGACCCTTCGGTCTGTGGGCCGACACTCTTAACTACTGAGCCAAACCAGCCACAGCTAGCTATTGCATTTTTATGTGCACGGCAATTTTTTCAGAGAATACTTTCATTTCAGGTAAGGGATAAAGAAAAGTAAGAGTTAATATTAGGAAACCCTTCTCCTGAAAAGAGATCTGTATCATGACTACATAAAAATTTGTATTTTTACTTAAAATAATCCATCAAAATGATAATATGGTAAATTTCCATTTTAAATCTTTAAAACTTTTTAATAAGGAATTCTTAAGGATAGTTGAGTTTCTAGATGCTTCAAAATGAAGTCATTTCTAAAATATTCCACTCATAACCATAAATGATAATAGATATCAGATATGGAATGATTTTTTTTTAAAACTACTCAGTTGCTGGTTTGACTCAGTGGTTGGAGTGTCGGTCCAAGGACAAAAGGGTCACAGTTTAGATTCCCGGTCAAGGGTGGGTACCTGGGTTTCAGGTTTGATATCTGGCCCCAGTCAGGGTCGTTTGGAGGCAACCACTCAATGTGTCTCTCTCACATCTATGTTTCTCTCCCTCCCTCCCTCTCTTCCTCCTTACACTCTCTCTAAAAATCAATGGAAAAATCTCCTCTGGTGAGGATTAACCAAACAACAACAACAACAAAAAACTACTCAGTTGAGTCCTGGCCAGTGTGGCTCTGTAGGTTGGAACTTCATCCCATTCACCAAAAGGTGATGGGTGTGATTCCTGGTCAGGGCATATACCCAGGTTTTGGGTTCGATATCAGGGAGGCAACCGGTTGTTGTTTCTTTCTCTCTTGCTTCCTCTGAAATCATTTTAAAAAAACAGCAGCCCTGGCTGGTTTGGCTCAGCAGTTAGAGCATCGGCCCCAGGACCAATGAGTCTCGAGTTTGATTCCAGTTCAAGGGCACATAACTCAGTTGTCGTTCGTTCCCAGCCCTGTTGGGTCATGCAAGAGGCAATCAGTCAATGTGACTCTATCACATCGATGTTTCTTTCTGTCTCTCTCTCCCTCCTTCCCACTCTATAATGATAAATGGTAAAATATCCTCAGGTGAGGAATAAAAAACAACAACAAATCTACTCAGTTGAAACAGTTTTAAATTTACTAGCTAGAGACAGGTTAAATATATGTCAGGTGATAAAGCATAAACTATACAATTATTAGAATAAAACTCTTTAGCTGATAGCTTAAGAAATTATTTATAATAAGAAATATTAGAGTCAGTATCAATAGAAATTTTTAGTATCCTATGCCTGATACTGATTGCCCGGGATATTTGGAAAATAAAAAATAAATAACTTTCTATACATATGGCCTTTATTTATTTATTTTATTTTATTTTATTTTTTATCCTCACCTGAGGACACTTCTCCATTTTTGTTCAGATAGAGTGGGAGGGAGGGAGTAAGAGAGAGAGAGCACTATCGATGTGAAAGGGACACATTGGGTAGCTGCCTCCTGCACGACCCAACTAGGGTTGGAGACAAACCACAAGGTACATGCCTCTAGCGGGAATTGAACCCGGGTCTCTCTGGACCGTGGGCCGATGCTCTAACCACTGAGCCAAACCGGCTAGGGCCATACAGTCTTTTTATATGTCTTATTGAGGGGAGTTAGAAATATACTTATCTCAGGAATGTTTTTTTAAAATTTCTATTTATTTATTTATTTTAAATCCTCACTCGATATTTTTTCCATTTATCTTCAGACAGAGTGGGATTAGAGAGAGAGAGAGAGAGAGATAAACATCAACATCAACGTGAGAGAGACACATCTACTGGTTGCCTCCCACAGGACCCTGACCAGGGCCGAGGACAAACCAGAACTGAGATACGTGCCCTTGACTGGAATCGAACTGGAATTGGTCCGCAAACCGATGCTCTAACCATGGAGCAAACCGGCCAGGGCTAAAATTTCTAATTAATAAAAATTCACATTTCCTCAACCTAAAAACACCATTTGTCAGAATATACCTCATAGCATTTGTCTTTCACACTTTTGATATAAACTACTGTAGGAAATGTTTTCTATTACAACCTAGTACACACACCACATATACACGTACAGGTATCCATATATATGTGTATACACACACACACACACAGATATACATGTATATATGCACACATACACGTGTGTGTGTGTGTGTGTGTGTGTGTGTGTGTGTGTATGAAATGTGTTTAATGGGACAAATTTCACCCTTAAGATGTGTAATGCATTTTTATATTTTGTTTCTTGTTCTTTTTATGTTATTCTTTTCTGTTTTGTTTTATTAAAATTTTGGTCACTACATAATTGATTTTACATCTTGCTGGTGGGTTTGAAAAACACTACCTAGAGAACACCTGCATATGTACACAAGGTGTGTGCAAGGAGGTTCTTTGTAGCCTTGTTAGTAATGGTAACAAGTTAGAAATAACAAAAACATTCATCTGTAGGAAGAGTTAGATGTTTGTTCATAGTCTGCAGATATTAAAAATGATGAGGAGGACCCTCATATTTACTGCCATAGAATGACCTCTAAGACATACTGTTAAGTGAACAAAGCAAGTTTCAGGATAGTAAGTACATTTCATTAACTCTTATTTTTTATTTTTTTCACAGGCAGTTATTTAGGATTGAAGGAGTGAAAAGTGTCTTCTTTGGACCAGATTTCATCACTGTCACAAAGGTAAACAAAGAATGATATAAAATAAGATGTGAAGCATTTTTAGTTTTTATGAGTCGAAAAACCCACTCTAGAATTTCCATTTTTAATCTATATTATATATACTATTATTAAAATATCTCAAATTGCCCATCCAGTGTGGCTCAGTGGTTGAACATTGACCCATGCACCAAGAGGTTGCCAGTTCAATTCCTAGTCAGGGCACATGCCCAGGTTGTGGGCCCAATTCCCAGTGGGGGATATGCAGGATGCAGCCAGTTGATGTTCTCTCTCTCTCTCTCATCAATCTTTCTCTCTCTCTTCATCACCCTTCCTCTCTCTCTAAAATCAGTAAAGAAAAAAAATGTTTTAACAAAAATCTCAAATTAAGTTTACTTATTACATTTCTTAAATAATTATTTAATAGAATTTCCAGATTATTCACTTTTTTAAAATATGTTTTTATTGATTTTTTTTTTTTTTTTTTTTGAGAGAGAGTGGAAAGGAGAGAGAGATAGGAACATCCATGTGATAGAGAAACATTGATCAGCTGCCTCCTGCACGCCCCCTACTGGGGATCAAGACCGCAACCCAGCCCTGGCCAGTTTGGCTCAGCGGTTAGAGCGTCCGCCTGCGGTCCGGAGAGACCCGGGTTCGGTTCCCGCTAAGGGCATGTACCTAGGTTGCAGTTTGTCCCCGGCCCTGGTTGGTCGTGCGGGTGGCAGCCACTCGATGTGTCCCTTTCACATCGATGTTTCCCTCTCTCTCTTCCTCTCTCTCCCTCCCACTCTGTCTGTACAAAAAATTGAAAAATGTCCTCGGATGAGGATTAAAAAAAATAAAAAAAAATAAAAATAAAAAAAATAAAATATTTTAAAAAAAGACCGCAACCCAGGCATGTGCCCTGACTGCGAATCGAACCAGGGCCTCTCAGTCCATGGGATGATGCTCAATCCACTGAGCCATACCAGCTGGGATATTTTTCACTTTTTAAAAGAGAAAAACTTGAGCTTCAGAGGGTTAAATGCATTGTCCAAGATTATATAGGTAGCCTGCAGCAGGGCCAAGATTAACCTTTGCAGGATGAGAATTTAGGCTTTCAAGTATTATTTTTACTAATTTTTAATTTAAATCGATAGAGTAAAAAGAGAAGCAAATAAATAATCACACTTTATATATATATATGTATTTGACCTACAGAATGATTGAATATATATACCTCCTTTCAAAGTGGGCACTTACATCATGGCATCTGACCCATTCTACCATCCTGCAATAACACTTCAGAACTTCACACATAAGAGCAGTGGATTGTGTAAGTTCTTCAGCACTTGGTCAACCTATAAATGTTAAGAAAAAACAAGCTAAATATGCTACCCATTGCAACAGCTAAGGTGGTATCTGCTAGAAAGGCTGTTTCATTTATTTTAAGTCTATTAGATTAATGAGAAATGAACTGTTTAAATTTAAACTGTCTATCCTTTTAATTCTGTTCATTGATATGTACGCACTGAACTTAATCACTTGTCCAATTTGCATCAAACAAAAAGTATTCATTCAACTCCTCAAATTTCTTAAGAAATTTGAAAGGATTACTCTGAGTTTGTTTTTAACCTCACCCAGGGACTTTTTTTTTTTCTTTTCATTTATCTTCAGGTAGAGCGGGAGGGAGAGAGGGAGGAAGAGAGAGAGAGAAACATTAACATGAGAGAGATACATCAAGTGGTCGCCACCCACACGAACCCCACTGGGGTTGGGGGCAAACCTCAACTGAGGTACGTGCCCTTAGTGGGAACCGAACCTGGGACTCTCTGGTCCAAGGGCCGACGCTCTAACCTCTGAGCCAAACTGGCCAGGGCTACTCTGAGTTCTTAATGTACCAGAAAGTGGACATACTGGGTTAGTAATATGCTACATATAGTCCAGTGTTCTTTTGTAGCTGTTTCTCAGAAACCTTTTTCTTGACCATTTTTGTGAAAGTGGCACTTCCTCTAGGAGCTTATTACCCTGTCCAGGGCACAAGTAATTATTCTTGTATTTGTTTTACAAACAGGGAATTATTTATTTATTTATTTATTTATTTATCCTCACCGGAGGACGTTTCTCCACTTTTTTGTTCAGATAGAGTGGAGGAAAGAGAGGAAGAGAGAGAGAAACATCGATGTGAAAGGGACACATTGAGTGGCTGCCACCCGCACGACCCAACCAGGGCCAAGGACAAACTGCAACCGAGGGACATGCCCTTAGCAGGAACCGAACCCGGGTCTCTCGGGACTGTAGGCCAATGCTCTAACCGCTGAGCAAAACCGGCCAGGGCTTATGTATTTATTTTAAGACATTTTTATTTTTTTATTTACTTCTTTTACCTAGAGCCTATGCTATATAAAACTTTTTTTACATGAAAATGTGATTATATCTTACAGGGTTTTTTTTTTTTTCTTGATTTGATTTTGGTTATCTTTTATTTCCCTTTCTATTCATAATTTAGTTACCCTCTCTGAAATTTCATTAGCTCCACTATTTTTTTCTTTCTTTTTGTTTTAATACTGAAATTTTTTTATTTCCAAGATCAGATATTACAACAGGACATTTACATGTATTTATAAAAAATGCAGCAGTTGAATTTATAGATCAGAGGTTTCCTTGAGTTTGGTCCCTCTCTCAGCACAGTGAGCTGATGTCTTCAAAAGACTTATCGTCCCACCCCACCCCCCAAATTGTCCCAACCCCCCCACCCAATTCCAGTTGCAGTATCAATATAAAGCAACTGGGTACTACAACACAGCAAGAATATTCACAATTTGGCCCTGGCTGGTTTGGTTCAGTTGTGAGCGTCAGCCTGCGGTCCAGAGAGACCGGGTTCGGTTCCTGCTAAGGGCACGTACCTCGGTTACAGTTTGTCCCCGGCCCCGGTTGGGTTATGTGAGAGGCCCCACTCAATGTGTCCCTTTCACATCGATGTTTCTCTCTCTTTCTCTTCCTCTCTCTCCCTCCCACTCTATCTGAACAAAGAAAAATGCAAAATGTCTTCGGGTGAGGATAAAAAAAAAAAAGAATATACACAATTTGGTACAGCTAAACCAGAGGATTGCCAACTGAGAGATCTTCATTTTAGAAATTATTTACTTATAGACTATGTTGTATCTATAGATATATCACACCCAGTTATCTAAGATTTCTCTGGTTTTAGAGCAACTGGAAGTTCCATTGAGTCTTAGCCAGCAGTTACAGCTCTATTTTATCAAATGGCATGTTTTTCTCCTCCTACAAGTTTTAGATTTTCTCCGGCCTCCAAGTGTCTTCAAATTTAAGGCTTTCCCTAGCACCTTTATTATAACTTACTAGATATACAGTAGGGTCTCTAGTGTGCCTTGAACAAAAAAATTAGCGAATGATCCAGTTGTCCCTTACTCACTGGTCCCAAAGCCACCTTCTCATTTTTCAGAAAAGCTACAGAAACAAATGGTATCTCCTAGCACCTTGGGATTATAAGTCCAGAAAACTGAGAACTATATGTGCATTTTAGGGAGCACTTGCCAGAAACACTACAATAGGAGCACTGTCTCTGTCCATTATCTTCTTGGATTCGAGAACAAAGTTATGCTGCAGATTAAATTTAGAGCCATCCTGCATTAAGAATGCAAATATCACTAAGACCACCACTTTGTACAGAATAAGTTGAGTACACAAACATTCCAGGGAATCTCTGAATACTGCTAGGAACTGCTTGGAAAACATTTTAAGCAAATACCCCAAGTTGACTTCACTCAAGTACCCAGCCCACCCCCATCCCTATCCCCAAATAAATTTCATTCCTTGATTAACCTCTCTGGGTAAGATGGGAGGAGAGGTTTGAAAAATAACATGAAAAATGTTTAAAAAACAATTAGTGAAAACATGCCAGAATTGGACATTCCAGATGATTTAAAACGTGTTGTTCAAACTGAACTCATACAAAGCATGCAGAGACTGCAAACACTCCTGAGTTTCCATGGAACAATCAGTACCCACTCGAAAACAGACTTGTTTCTTAAGGGTTAAAAAAAAGACACCAAATGCTTAGAAATTGTTAACAATAAAAAAGAAAGCCCTCTTAAGAAAAAGATTCTTAAAGAAGTGAATAAAATTTTAAGATTCATGCCAAAACTTGAATGGAAGCCCCTCAAAGTCTAAGAGTCATGTTAGTATGAACTGGTACTCATCTCTTTAAATCAAAGACTAGAGGATTATCTCATAGATTTACCACTTCCCAGCAGGTATTTTAAATTGCCTTTCCAAACTGAAGGGACAAACGCAGGATAGTAACAAGGCTCAGGGCCCAAAATGGGTAAGATAAATGGCTCCTACTATAAGCTTACTACTCATTAAATAAAAAGTAGAGGGTTGCCCTGGCCGGTTTGGCTCAGCGGTTGGAGCGTCGTCCTGCGGTACAGAGAGACCCAGGTTCGGTTCCTGCTAAGGGCACGTACCTCGGTTGCAGTTTGTCCCTGGCCCTGGTTGGTCGTGCGGGTGGCAGCCACTCGATGTGTCCTTTCACATCGATGTTTCTCTCTCTCTCTCTTCCTCTCTCTCCCTCCCGCTCTATCTGAACAAAAAATGGAAAAATGTCCTCGGGTGAGGATAAGAAAAAAAAAAAAGTCGAGGGCACACGCTACTTTCTTTCATTCTAATTAGCAGATAACATGAGATTTTCTGGTGGTAATGGTCACTCCATGTGAGGTTTAACTTACAGGGCAATTACACTATTTTTTCTTAATGAAATGATATAACTAATAAATAATATTCCAAATGAGGGTACACATTGATATTTCATAGGTAGAATAGCAGATTTCATTTGTTTTCTTTTCAATTAACCTTCCTCATCATGGACTATTCCATTTACCTGATATTTCCAGCAATTGCCTTTTCCTTTCTGATCTGTAATTGATAATTTATAGGCTTCTTTATGCATCATTTATTTTTTTTTTTCTGAATGTGTAAGTGTATTTTCAGCTTATATGCTGCCCTTTTTTTTTTAGTCCTCACCCGAGGACATTTCTCCATTTATCTTTAGATAGAGTGGGAGGGAGAGAGGGAGGAAGAGAGAGAAACATTATGTTAGAGAGAGACGACACCAACTCGTTGCCTCCTGCATGACAAACTGCAACCGAGGTATGTGCCCTTGACTAGAATCAAACCCGTGACTCATTGGTCCACGGGCCGATGCTCTAACCACTGAGCAAGCAGGCCAGGACTGCCCTTTTTTTCTTTTCAGACAACTTAAGGAAATTTTTCTTTTTATTACCAATATTTCCTTACTCAGTAGAGTCCACTATTTACCAAAAATCTGAGGTGGCCCTCTGATCCATCTTCCAAATAATTTATTAAAATGTTACCTCAAATTAGTGCCCCTTCTGTATACTGCCTCTAAATTGGTTCTTAATCCATTACAAAAATAGTTCTTATGTATGTAGCCTCAATTTTGAATAGTATTTAAGCATAGACCCTAGCCAACAGTTTCCTGAGAGTGTAAGTAGACTGCATCTAATAGTTTTTGCTCCTAAAAAACTAAAACTGTACATGCTGCCTTTCTCTTTTTAGATGCTAGTACTACTTAGGTACTTAAGAATTATACTTTAAAAAAAATGGAATCAAGTGGTTGGCTAGATTTTGGGGTGAAATAGTTATGGATTCTTTCTTAAGGATACTGGTCTTGTTGACAGTTCACAAGTCCTCCAGCACAGTAGCCATAGATAAAACATATTAATGTGTTTTGGTTCTACAGTTGTGTCACTGGATTTCTTCAGTACTCTTAATATATGTAAATTGAATTTTTTAATAGTTATCACATATCCTATGCATTTGATCAAACAGTTATATCCTACTGTATTTAAAAGAATGGGAAATTTATTTATCCCTGCTCAGGGCACATGACCAGATTGTGGGTCAAATTCCCAGTGTGGGGACATACAGGAGGCAGCCAACCGATGTTCTTTTTTGTTGACGTTTTTATCTCTCTCTCCCTTTCCCTTCCTCTCTCTCTAAAAATCAATAAAAATTTATATATATATTTTTTATCCTTGTCAGAGGACTTTTTTTTTTTTTTGCATTTATCTTTAGATAGAGTGGGAGGGAGAGAGAGAGGAAAAGAGAGAGAGAGAAACATTGATGTGAGAGAGACATCAACTGGTTGCCACCCACACATCCCCAACTGGGGCCAGGGACAAACTGCAACCAAGGTATGTGCCCTTAGTGGGAAACGAACCCAGGCCTCTCTGGTCCACAGGCTGATGCTCTAATTGCTGAGCCAAACTGGCCAGGGCAAAAAAAATTTTTTTTATTTATTAAATTTTTTAGAGAGAGAAGAGAAAGGCAGAGAAAAAACATCAATTTTGTTTTACTTATTTTTCATTTATTTTTATTTAGTTTTTTGTTAATCCTTACTTGAGGATATATTTTTCCATTAATTGTTTTAGATAGAGTGGAAGGGGTGGGGGAGAGAGAGAAACATCTATGTGAGAGAGATACATCAATCAGGGGCCTCCTGTATGCCCCCTAGTGGGGATCAAGTCTGAAACCCAGGCATGTGCCCTGACCTAGAATCGAACCAGGACCTCTCAGTCCATTGGGCAATGCTCAATCCACTAAGCCACACCAGCCAGGCAGGAAAAGTTTCTTAAAATATACAAAGTATTGTTTCATATTTGTGCCTTTCGGTGGAAATTTTAGCATTTTCCTTCAAATATTTACAGGAAAGTGAAGAGTTAGACTGGAATTTACTGAAACCAGATATTTATGCAACAATTATGGATTTCTTTGCATCTGGCTTACCCTTAGTTACTGAGGAAACATCTTCAGGAGAAGCAGGTAATATGTAGAGTAATTAATATTTATCTTTTAATAACATTTTTTCTACTTTCCCTATACTTGTCTTGAATTCAGAAATCATGGGAATACAGATTTTTATCATTGTACCATATTTAACTCTAGAACCAATTCCAGAAGTAATAAAACTTCATATATACTAGTTTTATCCATCATTTTTGAAAATTTGTGTATAAATTGAATCTTCTGCACAAAACTAAAATTTTTAATTGTAAAAATTTTCAAACATAAAGAAAATAGTATAATGCTCACCGATTTACCCTCCTCTCCGATTTAACAGATGTTAATTTTTGGCTATAATTGTTTCTGACCCATTTTTAGATAAAATGGTAAAGATAGCCAAAGCCCTATAACCCCTGTCCCTTTCTACTTCCAGAGATGTATATAAATTTGTTTTGTTTTTAAACATTTACAACAAATACAAGTCTTTGCAGGGGATATATAACATTTTTCCCCCCTCTTTTTATTTTTTTTTTATTTTTATTTTTTTCCTCACCTGAGGACATTTTTTTCCATTTTTTGTACAGATAGAGTGGGAGGGAGAGAGAGGAAGAGATAGAGAGAGAGAAACATCGATGTGAAAGGGACACATCGAGTGGCTGCCACCGCACGACCAACCAGGGTCGGGGACAAACTGCAACCGAGGTACGCGCCCTGGTACCGAACCCTGGTCTCTCAGGACCGCAGGTCGACGTTCTAACCGCTGAGCCAAACTGGCCAGGGCTCCCCCTCTTTTTATTGATTTTAAAGAGAGGAAGGGAGAGGGAGAGAGAGAGAGAGAGAAACATTGACGAGAGAGAACATCGATTGGCCACCTCCTGCATGCCCCCCATTGGGGATTTGGCCCATAACCTGGACATGTGCCCTGACCAGGAATTGAACCAGCAACCTCTGGTTCAGTGGGTCAATGCTCAACCCCTAAGCCATACAACCCTGGCTGTTTTTTGTTTTTAAACTTTAAATAACTTGTGTTATATACAAATTTCCTTTTTTTATTAAGCATAATATTTTGAAATATATCCATTTTGAAAAAATGTAGTTTTTGCTCAGCTGGTGTGGCTCAGTGGATTGACCATCATCCCATGGACTGAGAGGTCCCAGTTCGATTTCTGGTCAGGGCACATTCCCAGGTTGTGGGCTTGATTCCCAGTAGGGGGCGTGTAGGAGGCAGCTGATTGACGTTTCTCTCTCACAATGTTTCTATTTCTGTCTCCCTTTCTCGCTCTAAAAAAAATCAATAAAAACATTTTTTAAAATGTAGTTCTATTTTATTTAGTTTAAGTGTGAGATAATCATTATATGAGTAAACTACAGTTAATTATTTTGTTCCTTTACTTATATTCAAGTGAATTATTTGTGCTAATTTTTATTACAAATATTGCAGTGGGCATCTTTGTGCAGTCTCTTTGTGCATATATGGAGAGTTTCTTTAGCATATATTCCTAAAAGTAGAATTGCTGTATTATAAATTGTTCTAACTTACATGCAAATTAGCAGTATATACAAGTTTTGACTGTCTCATGTCTTTATTATCACTTAGTGTTTTTTACACTTTTTCAACCAATATGTTAAGTATAGAATGGTATCTTGGGTTTTTTTTGTAATCTTCACCTGAGGATACTTTTCCATTGATTTTTTAGATAGAGTGGAAGGGACGGAGGGAGAGGGAAAGAGAAAAAGAGAACTAAGGAGAGAGGGAGACACACATTGATTGATTGTCTCCTGTACGACCCTGACTAGGGCCAGCGATGGTCTGTGGGCCGACACGATAATTGCTGAGCCAAACTGGCCACTGTGATAATAACTTATTTTAATTGAATTTCCTGGGTAGTATAATACTGAGCCTGAAGATTTTCATGTTTCCTGGTTGTTATTTTCCTTGTCAATGTGTTTCCTGTTCATAATCTTTGCCCATCTAAAAAAAATTGAGTTGTATGTCTTTTTTGTATTAATTTTATCAGGTTTTTAAGAAGTATCCGGAGTGTCATTTTTTTGTTAAGTCTCTCCTAACAGATATTTCTCCCTAACCATGACTTAACTTTTCACTATGTTTAGGATATCTTTTGTCATTCAGAAATTTTTCTTTTTCTTTTTACACACACACACACAAACATTTGTATAATGACCTTTAGATGATAACAGTTCCACTTCTAGGTATATACCCTAAATGAATCTTACAAATGTACACAAGACAGCACATTTAAGTGTGATCTTTGAAATATATATTTTGTTGCCCAGCTGTTGTGGCTCAGTGTTGAACATCAACCCATGCACCAAGAAGTCGCCAGTTCGATTCCTGTTCAGGGCACATTCCCAGGTTGTCGGCTTGATCCACAGTGTGGGGCATGCAGGAGGTGGCCAGTCAATGTTCTCTCTTATCGATGTTCTTATCTCTTTCTCCTTCTCCCTTCCTCTCTCTCTAAAAAATCAATAAAGAAAAAAAAATAATGAAAAAAAAAAGAAATACATATTTTGTTTATTTTTAAAAATCATCACCTGAGATATGTTCATTGATTTTTAGAGAGAGAGAAACATCGTTGTGAAAGAGAAACATTGATTGGTGGCCCTCCCGTATGTGCCTCAGCTGGGGATCGAACCCGCAACCTAGATGTGTGCCCTGACCAGGAATCATATCCACAACCTTTCTGGTGCACGGGATGATGCTCCAACCAATAGAACCACCTGGCCAAGGCTTGTTGAAATATTTTTAAAATTTATCAGCAGTGAAAAGAAATGGATTTGATTGGGAGATATCAGTGTAAAAAGATATAAAATATTAGTCCAGCCAGTATGGCTCAGTGGTTGAGCATCAACCCATGCACCAAGAGGTTGTTGGTTCAATTCCTGGTCAGGGCACATGCCCAGGTTGTGGGCCCGATCCCCAGTAGGGGTATACAGGGGCAGTGCAGGAGGCAGCTGATCAATGTTCTCTCTCATTGATGTTTCTCTCTCTCTCCCTCTCCCTTCCTCTCTCTAACATCAATAAAGAAAAAATAAAAAAGTATCCAGTTTGGCTCAGTGATTACAGTGTTGGCCCTTGGACCAAAGCGTCTCGGATTCGATTCCTGGTCAAGGTCATGTACCTGGGTTGCAGATTCTATCTTGGGCACTGGTCAGGGTTGTGCGGGAGGCAACCAAATGATGTGCCTCTCTCACATCGATGTTTCTCTCTCTCTCTCTCTCTCTCTTTCCCTCTCCCTCTCTTCTACTCTATCAAAAATCAATGAAAAATATCCTCAGGTGAGGATTAACAAATAAACAAAAAATGTATCCTGTTTTAATACCTGTATTTACATGGATATGAAATTTCTTCTGTTGATATGTTTTATTTGTAATTGTTCCTAGGTTCTGAAGAAGATGATGAAGTTGTGGCAATGATTAAAGAATTGTTAGATACAAGAATACGGTATGTGTTTATTTTTCTACTTGAGATCATATATACTGCAGAGCCAGTTTTCATTTTAGTAATTTACTTTTGGTTTTCTGTGAGATTATAGTAGAGTTTTAAAAGAAGTATAAGTTAATGTAAACCACAGTAGGTAACCATGACAGTTGAATTTAAAGCCTGTATATTGCCTTTGTTCACTCCAAATTTTAAAACTATCTATCTAAACATAGTCAGTAAAGAACTTTATCTTTCACAGTCACCATATATGTTTGATATTGTTATAATACCAAATTTCTTAGAAAAAAATGAGTTAACAATGTTTGGGAAGATTATGATGAGAGGATTACCTTTTTTTAGGCTATATCCATAAAGAATACATTTAAATAAGTAGAGAACTTCAGGCTTTGACTTTTTGATAGTAGCAGACCAGTGGTCCTAGTGAGAAGTCCCAAAATGCTAGTTAAAATACAATTTAAAAAATTTTGTTGTGTGAAGGCATTAAGTAGCTACCAAAGCAAACAAGATTCTATAGAGAAGAAAAGCACATTGAGGCTTCCCTTGGAGCATTTGCTGATTCTTGGTGTGAGGCTAGAGTATGAGAAGCTGACCAGGGACAGCTGCTAAGAATCAAAGAAACCATTTAGCTTTTAGTAAATCTGTTGAGATGGGAAGACAAAAATTAAAATTCTGGATCACCAATGAAGCTTTGACTTAAAAGGCCAAGATCCTAGAGAGAAGTTAAGAAAAAGTAAGCCTAACACTCAGAGGTTTTCCCCTCAAGGCACTTGCTTATTCTTAGCTGTGTAGGGGAAGAGACTAAGAAGTCAAACAAAAGCAGTTGGGAAACTAAACAGAATTTTGGCAGTTATACAGTTCTGGGGGTGACAAAAATTGGAGTTAAGGATCAGTCAAGGAGGGTGGGCCCACAGGAACCATCTAGACTCTTGTTGGGCTCCATATAGGACTATACCCTTGAAATGGGGGCAAGCCAGAGGTAGACCTTGGTCAGCAAAGAAATCACAAAGGAAATTTAAAATAGAATATCTGCATGACCTTTAAGTTGGCAAAAGACATAAAAATTAGACTACAGTAAAGTTATGAGTTTCTCTTCAACAAAAGATGCCATTTACAGTGAAAAGCAAAGCACAGAGTAGAAGATATTTATAATACATATGTGACAGATTATATTTTAAAATTCCTGTAATTTGTTAAGAAAGAGACAATCACAGACTAAAGCAATCTCTTTAAAAGCACTGGAACAACAACTCAAAATCTACAGTAACCAAATGGCCACTAAATGTGAGAAAGTGCTCAACCTCATTAGCCACTGTGACTATTCAAATTAAAACCACAATGAACTATCACTGCAGATCCACTGGGATGGTTAAAATCATTAACATTGACAACACCAATTGGTGAGGATGTGGAACAGGAATTCCCTTATACTGCCAATGGGAATGTAAGTTTATATAACTCTGGAAAACTAGTTTATCTGCTAAATCTGAACATATGCATATTCTGTTTTATTTTTTTATCCCCACCCGAGGATATGTTTATTGATTTGCGAGAGAAGAGAGACATCAATGTGAGAAACATGAATCAGTTGCCTCCTGTACGTGCCCCAACCAGGGATCAAACCCTCAATCTAGGTAATGTGCCTTGACCGGGAGTCAGACCGACCTGCAACCTTTTGGTGTATGAGACGACGCTCCAACCAACTGAGCCACCCTGACCATGGCTGTGCATATTCTTTTTTTTAAATATGTTTTTTCAATTGATTTTTTAGAGAGTGAGGAAGGGAGAGAGAGAGAGAAACATTGATGTGAGAGAGGAACATCAATCAGTTGCCTCCTGCAAGCCCCTTACTGGGGATCAAGTCTGCAACCTGAGCATGTGCCCTGACTGGAAATCGAACAGAGACCTCTCAGTCCATGGGATGACGCTCAGTCCTTGGGACGACGCTCATTCCACTGAGCCACCCGACCAGGGCTATGCATATTCTTGATCGAGCAAATCCACTCTCAGTTATATGCCCAGTAGTAATATATATGTATACCAAAAGACATTTGCAAGAATCTTCATAGCTGCACCATTTGTAAAAGCCAAAAACTCGTATTAACCCAGATGCCCATCAACCATGGAAAGAACCAATTCTAGCATATTCACTTAATGGAATACTATGCTGCAGTGAGATTGAACAAACTATTTACTACATGCAACAATGTGGATGAATTATAAAGAGCAAAAGAAGCCAGATACAAAAGAGTAAATACTATATCTTTTCTAAATGGAATTTATATTTATAAATTTTAAAGTTAAAAAACAGGTAAAACTAATCAGTGGTGATAGCATTCAGGAAATTAGTTGGGAGGAGTGGTTAGAAGCACAAGAGGGCTTCTGAGGTGCTGGTATCTGGGACAAATGTATGTTCACTTTGTGAAAATAATTTGAATTGATTGAACATGATTTATACATTTTTTTGTATTAGTGTTATATTTCAATCAAAAGTTTACCTTAAAAAAAGCCAGCATGTATCAATTTTCCTGTATTCACTCAAAAGAAATTCATGAGTATATCTTAGGTAGTTATTATAATTATTAGGAAATTTGAAGTCTTAAATGCTTAAAAAGATTATTAATAAGAAGATTATAATAAGTGGAACGTATATTTGTATGAATGAATTTGACAAAATTACAAATGAGACTAGACAAATTTATTGTATTCTCTGTTGTAAAAGTAGCTTTAACTTTGTGAATTTTACTGATACAAAATCTAAGGTCTGAGTTGTATTAAATTTTTTTGATGAAAACTTCTATTCTCTTAAATATATCACAAATATACTGTGGCTGCAGGCCAACTGTGCAGGAAGATGGAGGAGATGTAATCTATAAGGGCTTTGAAGATGGCATTGTACAGCTGAAACTCCAAGGTTCTTGTACCAGCTGTCCTAGTTCAATCATTACTCTGAAAAATGGAATTCAGAACATGCTGCAGTTTTATATTCCAGAAGTAGAAGGCGTAGAACAGGTATGCTAATATGTGATGGTTTAGATTTGATATTAAAATAAACATTTGAGAAGAAAAGAAATTCATTACCTGACATTTTCTTCAAGTGCTGGATCTTAGTGTTACAATTGTTATCAGACTGAAGACTCCCTACTTTAGATTTAATTTTAGCATTATGAATACCTACTGTATGCCAAGCATTTTCACAAATATTACTTGATTTAATCTTCTGATAGCACAGTGTATTAAGTAAGTCATTTCCATTTTGTGCATAGGAAATTGAGACTCAGAGGGCATACTGCTGCTCTGGTTATATAGGAAAAGTATATTCAAAACATCATAGTGTTTTGTAGATGAGATTTAGACATCTTTAGAGGAACAGCTTTACTACATCACATCTATCCACTTGTTTTTTAAATGTGCAGGCAAGAAGCTTTGTTTTACAGTCAAAAAGAGTATTGAGTAGAATTATAGAGCTTTATCTGTAGTCTGTTGTCAGTAATTTTTCTGCCCCAAGATACTTAAGGAATATAGCCCAGCATCTTCTAAGCAGTAATAGTGACCCGCACTGCAGTGATTCTCAGCCAGGAGACATGGCCTTATGGAGAGAGATTATCAAGAAGGGAAAGTGTGTAGAAATTAGAAATGTGAAAAAACTCTTCAGGTAGTTCTGTGCCATTAAGGAGAAGTCACCTCCTTTCAGCTCCTTTGAGAATCACTCATTTTTGGGTAGTATTAAAATATGTCCTTTTGTGGGGATTGCTAGGGGGAGGTGGGGTTCGGGGAGGGGGAGGGGAAAGGTATGGGGGGATAAATGGTGATGGAAGGAGACTTGACTTGTCGGGGGGTGAACACACAATACAGTGTTCAGATGCTGTGTTGTGGAACTGTGCACCTGAATCAGGTATAATTTTGTTAACTAGTGTCACCCCAATAAATTCAGTAAAAAGGAAAAAAAGAAAAAGAAAATATTGAAGCTAAGAAAAAGAAAATGTCCTTTTGGTACAATACATGCCATCTCTTCTTTGAACTCCTCTTTTAAGTCCTCCGCTTGGAATTAAACTCTGTTTTGGTCCAAAGCTGCTTTCTGTGTGTCTGTTTCAGCTTTATGTTTATGGGTAAGTTCCTTGAGAGACTTGTAATCATATCTTGGTCTTTTTGTGTTCCTCTGCAACACTTAGCCCTGTGTGTTATACATGTTCTTGCATAGTTTGTATTAAATATTTGGCAGTGTTATTCCAAAGTTAGGAGTATTCAGCCTAAACTAGGAGTTGATTGACAAAATTCTTTGGAATGGGTATTACTGAGATTTGATATAAAATACCAATTTCTTGGAAGTAAATATCCATTTTTACTCAACACTAAAGAGAAACTATGAGAGGATTGTTTTTTCATTGATTGTCTCAGATCAGATCCAGATTCATCTAGATTTAAAAAAAATACATCTTATTTTTGTTCCATTTTCTTCTGTATGCCTTTTTAAACATTATATTAGTTGACACTGGTGGATTGTTAAGTAACATTTTTATTTGCTTGTTCAGGGTGGGGTGATGAAGAGAAAAAATATTTGTAAGTTTATATAACTCTTTTTCTTACCAAAGGAGTTCTTTGTTATTTGAGTACTATATTAACTCATAAAAAGATATTTTTTTCATTTTTTCTTCAAGTATTCATTAGTAGTTTTATTAACTTATTAGAAATGAAAGTCTTAACATTTTTCTAAGGTTTATAATGAATTTTTATCTGAATAAGAGCAAATAGTTGCTAATATATTTTGTTTTCTTACTGTTTTTAGGTATTCATTTTTTTAAATTTATATTTAGAGAGAGAGGAAGGGAGAAGGAAAGAGAAACATCGATTTGTTGTTCCACTTATTTATGCATTAATCGTTTGCTTCTTATATGTGTCCTGACCAAGGATCGAACCCGAAACTGAAACCTTGGTGTATCAGGATGACACTCTAACCAACAGCTACCCAGTTAGAGCTAGGGATTCATTTTTCTAATATATATTTTTACAATAACTCTTTGGTATAGATCCCCAGAATATATTTAAATAATTAAGATGCTTTTGGGGGTTGGGGAATAGTCAATTACATTAGTTTTATGGCTAGGAAATACCAATTAATCATAGTCTTCTCTGACCAGCTGAGACTTCACTATTGCCTCTTTTGGGACAAGGAAAAGAGACCAGAGCTTTTAATTAATTTGCTGATATTCAGTTTGCTTTTATGTTGTTAGGATGCCAGGTTATGATGCAAACCTTGTGCTTTGGGGCTGTTGATAGACTTATTTTTATTGACATGCATTGTTATAGATTATTTCAGGTAAGCAAATAATGTTAAAAACAGAAAAAAAGCAATTTCTAATTTCTTAATTCTTTAATTCTCTCTCTCTCCTTTTTTTTTGTTCTAGGTTATGGACGATGAATCAAATGAAAAAGAAGCAGACTCACCTTAAAATAATTTGAGTTTTCTTTGGCCCAGCAATCGGACTTGTTGATACCATATACCAAGCTTTTATTTTTAATCTGCTAAGAAACTTACAGATTAATAAAATAGGCCCTTTCTTCAGAGAATGATATATAAATAATTGCATGTTTGCTCTACCTCATATGAGTTATTTATAAAATTCTGAATCATCTGTACACATGGATTTTGTCCAGGGATATTTTTATTTTTGTTCTTCATTTCTCATGGTTAATTCTTTGCATAATGTTTGAAGCAATTTAAAATGCATTTATCCCATCTTATGTATTTACATTTTAAATACAGAAGTAAAGCCCTGGCTAGTTTGTTTCCACGGTTAGAGTGTCAGCCCTCAGACCAAAGAGTCTTGGGCTCGATTCCTGGTCAAGGGCACATGACCTGGGTTGCAGGTTTGATTCCCAGCCCTGGTCTGGTTGAATGGGAGGCAACCAACCAATGTGTCTCTCTCACATTAATGTTTTTCTCTCTTTCTCTCTACTCTAGCTAAAAAAAAAAAAAAATTAATGGAAAAATATCCTCGGGTGAGAATTAACAACAAAAAATACAGAAGTAAATAGGGAGAATGCTTTTTAAAAATATTCTAAAATGGCTTAGCTTTCTGTGAGGTGTTTGGAACTATTTTTACTAAATTTTTATCTTGTTTTTAAAAACCAACTAGGCCCTGCTGGGTGGCTCAGTTGGTTGGAACATTGTCCTATACACCAAAAGTTTTCAGGTTCTATTCCCAGTCAGGGCACATACCTCGGTTTCAGGTTTGATCCTTGGGGTGTGTACAGTAGCAATCAGTTGATGTTTCTCTCTCACATCAATGTTTTCCTCTCTTTCTCCCTTCCTCAAAAATCATTAAACATCCTTGGGTGAGGATTAAAAAAAAAACCAACTAAACAATTCTGGTTTAAAAGTGATATTGGGCTAGTAGTCCCCAGTTTAGTAGCATATAATTTCTCCCTAAGGGACCAAAAAAACCCAAACAAACCAAAAAACAAATCATAATGCTGAATACTGATAAAACAAAACAGATTCCAGAATGTAGAAAAATTTCCATTACTTGTAAGACATACAGGATGAGTTGAGAAAAACTGTCTTACTAGAATGCTCAGGCTTTACCTTATGAAGCAGAATCTCTCTGAAATAAAGATGAGAAACTGTTTTGGTCCTTCTACTGGCTTTTCCTGATTCAGAAATCTGTAATCTGTGCCATGCCAGAAATTTGGACAGTTCATCTTTCTACCATAGGGGTACTGCTTTTTTAGATAGTCCCAATAGCAAGTCATCCACTCTCATTTTTTTCTGTAGTAATTCAGATACAACAGTTCACAGATAATATCAGGAAAAGAAAGATGGGCATATTGCATCTCGAATTCTGGTCCCCAAAAGTACAGAGATTAAGATTGGGATGGAAACAGGAAGAACTCCAGCAGTTGTAAATGCCAATAATTGAAGTTTTTATTTTTGTTCTTTGGGTCACAGAATCAGTTAGTGAGATTGGATAATTTGTTTCCTGAGCTGTTACAGATGAATTCAGCTTAGACTCTGGGAATTGCTTTGTAAGCTAGGAACATTAACCTGCCCTTTAGCTGAAGCGACAGGAAATTGATATTGTGGCGGAGATGCAGTTAATAACAGGTCTTGAATATGGCTGTGTGAAAAAGTGGCTGAGGTGGGTGGTGGATTAGATTCTTGGAAGAGGAAATCATGGAACTGAGAGGCCAGGGTATTGGAAAGATTTTCTACAAAAGGGATCAGCCACGAAGAACAAGGAGGAAAGGTGGGAGGGAACATTCTAAGCACGGAGAGCAGTGTAATCAGAATCTGGAAGCTGTGAAATATATTTGAGAACTGCAAAAAGTGAAGAATGGTTTGAGTGTAAAGTGGAAATTGTGCAAAAATAGATAGTGGGTCATATGGAGTATGCTGGAGAAACTCTTGGTTGCCTTCCCAACATACACCCAGCTTCTCACTGAAAGAGGCCCTCTTTACCATTTGGTTGTGATGTGCCCAGGGAAGGTAGGTCCTATCTCAGTTCCAGGAGATAAATTATAACTAGTCTAAACCAGTCATTTTAACTCCTTTTCTCTTTGCCAGTCATTAGTCTAGGTGTGGACATAGGGCCCAGTTCTGGCCAATGAATTGTAAGAGAACATCTATCGGTAAGTTTTGAAAAGATTTTCTTCCCTGATTGAGAGAGCATTAATCTACTTAAAGAAGGCTCTTTTCCTATCAGTTCCTTTTCTTCCTGCTTGATACACTGTAGTATAGAAACTTGATGTCTGCGGCTATGACAGTCCACTTGTAATCATGAAAAGCCAGTCCACTGAGAACAACAAGGGAAGGAAGAAAGGGTCCGGATCCTTGAGGTCATTATTGACCTTTGAGTCAGCCCTGGAACCACCCATTTTCAGAGTATCGTGAAATAAAAGGTGTTTTGTTTTGTTGCTGCAGCTTCTGGTGTCAGGTATGAAGCTGGTTGTTTTCTAACAAAGAGCCTGGTATATCATGGAGGACTTGTTAATAAGTCCTGGTAAAATAAATAATTTTATTGATTTTTTTTTTATTTGTGGTAGACAGTGCCAAATATTGATCTTAAAATGAAAATCACATTTTTAAATTAATTGAGCCATTTTTTTCCAAAGATTAATTTAGAAAGTGTAGTTTAATCGGGTAATAGTTTTTATTTATTTATTTATTTATTTATTTTTTTTTTTTTTTATCCTCACCCGAGGATATTTTTCCATTTTTTGTACAGATAGAGTGGGAGGGAGAGAGAGGAAGGAGAGAGAGAGAGAAACATCGACGTGAAGGGACACATCGAGTGGCTGCCACCCGCACGACCAACCAGGGCCGGGGACAAACTGCAACCAAAGTACGTGCCCTTAGCGGGAACCGAACCCAGGTCTCTCCGGACAGCAGGCCGGCGCTCTAACCGCTGAGCCAAACTGGCCAGGGCAGTTTTTATTTTTGAATGTTTTAAATTATATTTAGTTTCTTCCTGTGTAGTCCTAAAGAAAGGAAGTAATCGTTCACAATTAGTTATATTTAAAACAAAACCCTCCAAAATATATAATTTTTTGTTATTGTCATTAATCCTTCCCTGAGGATATATTTCCATTGATTTTTAGAGAGAGTGGAAGGAAAGGAGGGGGGGGGGAGAGAGAGAGAGACATGAATGTGAGAGACACACATTGATTGGTTGCCTTCTGCACATGACTCTACCAGGGTAGGGATCAAAACTGCAACTCAGGTATGTGCCCTTGATCAAGAATTGAACCTGTGACCTTCGGTGCTTGGGCCGACGCTCTAACCACTTTGCACACCGGCCAGGGCTATAAAATCTTTTTACGTTAAGTATTCTTGAAAACACTTTATAAATATGGGACATTTCAATAAGTATTTGTGGTTTTTTTTGTTGTTTTTTTATCCTCACCCAAGGACATTTTTCCATTTTTTGCACAGACAGAGTGGGAGGGAGAGAGAGGAAGAGAGAGAGAGAGAGAGAGAGAAACATCGACGTGAAAGAGGCACATCGAGTGGCTGCCACCCGCACGCCGGGGACAAACTGCAACCGAGGTACATGCCCTTAGCGGGAAAGGAACCCGGGTCTCTCCGGACCGCAGGCCGATACTCTAACCGCTGAGCCAAACCGGCCAGGGCTTCAATAAGTATTTGAAACTAAGATTATTAGGCAAGAATAAAACAAGCACTTGGAGGATTTTTGATAAGGAACAAAATATATAAAAATAGCAAACTTTCATTGAACGTGCACTATGTGACAAGCACTTCTAAGCACCTTACATTTATGAAGTCATTTAATCCTATGATATCTGTAATTATTATTGTCCCTATGAGGCACTGAGAGGAGAAATACATGCTCCACTGCCATACAACTTACATGGAAAAGCCGGGAGCATGAACCCTGGCATCTAGCTCTGGAGTGTATTATACTATTTGCCCTGTGAGAATTGGCCCTACATACCCATCCTACCTTGCCTTCATAGATGCTACTTTCTGGTGGGCCAGAAGTCTTGTCCATCTTTTGCTTGCTCCAAACCTTAATGGGCCAAAATAGTGCATGCATGTCCATTTTATATGCAGGAATATGAAGCTAGCTGCTGTCCAATCCAGTGGAAATTGACAATCCCTTTGGGAAACCCCAACCTTACACTCCGTACACTTACCTGTGATAACTCTACAGGGTGTCTGCAGCCTATACAGAATTGACTTTTCTATCCCCTGAAAGAAAATCTAGGAACTTTTTTTCCCTGTTACCTTACATTTCTAGTGATCTCATTGCAGGCAGCCCCCTTAATGGTCCACCTGTATTCTGACTGTGATCACATCCTACGGGACAGAAATAGTAGATAGGACCAGTTAATCTTAATGGTTTCCAATTTGTTGACAATTTCTTGGGAGTAGACAAGTTTGTTTCTAGAGAACTGCCCCAGGTTCTGCCTAATGAGAAAATGTGAAGCCATCCTAGGGAGGAGTATTGGAAAGTGTATTCTAGTTGGAACCAGTATCTTTTGTTCTCAAGCCTGAGGGGTCCAGGTAGGGGCATCTGTTGTTTGTGTCTTCTTGGTGTCCCTTATTCTTTTTTTTTTTAATCCTCACCCAAGGACACCTTTCTATTTTTGTTCAGATAGAGTGGGAGGGAGAGAGAGGAAGAGAGAGAGAGAGAAACATCAACGTGAAAGGGACACATCGAGTGGCTGCCCCCCACACGACCAACCAGGGCCGGGGACAAACTGCAACCGAGGCACGCACCCTCAACGGGAACCGAACCCTTGTCTCTCTGTACCACAGGCCGACGCTCTAACCGCTGAGCCAAATCGGCCAGGGCCCTTATTCATTCTTTAAACATCTTCCCCTTTCCCTTGAAGAACTGCCTCTTGTTGACTGTGGCTCTGATAGAACTGTCCTATCATCATCATCATCATCATCATCCTGCCCTTTTTGCCACAGGAGTGGGCTTATGACTCACACTGGTCCAATCAGAATCCTTCATAGAATATAAAAAGTGAGGATGGACTGTGAGCTGTAAAGATATGATTCTAAAGCTGTTTGAGGGTCATTCCTTGTCCATGAGGTC